TATGAAGTTTTGGGAAGGGAGCTGATAGGACTTGTTATGTTATCTGTTGTGAAAGCCGCTTCTACTCTGTTTGCAAATCTGGATGCGTCGGTAACATAAGGATGTTATCATTAAAACCAGTTAAGATCTCAAGTGCTTTCTGTTTAAAAATATGGCTGGTGTGTGACATTCCTTGAATGCATAAAGATTTGTTTTACAATTACGGAGAGTTATAGTCTATGATAACATGTGTTGACTGACTTCTGAAATATTGTAAATGGGTAAAATTATTGTATCTAAGCTTTGTAACATTGCTTTTAGTCGATGATAAAATGGAGGATCCAATATTTTTCCATAATTAAACATCGATGGGAATCTATCTGTAAATGTGTTTTTATAAACAGATACCTCTGGGTTAGCTGATACTATTGAGGCATAAATAAGGCTAAAATATTCTCCCCTGAGTTAAAGAGATGATTCGCCTGATTCAACACACACTTTTAACTAAACTTATGTAGTGTGCTCCCAGTTTAATTCTAATTACTGAATTATGTATTGGATCTAGCACTTTTAACAGTGAACCTTTGATTGAGGTAATTTAACTAAAAAGATACGTGGTATCTCGATCCCTCCAAGTTTAAGTACACCACAAAAAAGTGTTATTAGTGAAACTATAAAAAAAATATTTAAAGTAATAGGTATTTCAACAAAATCTTAACAACACTAGCAACAACATTTTCATTTCTAAAAATAATATGAGTCGTTCATCGAGCTTTGGAGTAAAGCCATCGACATTTAGTTACATATCACTTTGGCCGCCGTGTGTAACCAAAAGTATACACACGCGAGGGTCAAAATCGCTGCGTGTATACTTTTAGATACACATGTAAAGTTTTGGTTGGAGTCATGTGTATATTCAAAGAGCTCAATACCTGTGTATTTCAAATGGGTAGTTAACTGACGTGGCTGCAAGCTACCTAAAAATATACTTAGCAGCAAGAAATTAAAAAGTTTACATTTTTTATTACGATTTGTTTACCTATACCGTTTTATACTATTTATCACATATAGTAACGCGACAACCTTAATTATTCAAATGGCAAATAATAAGTAAAAATAAGCTATTTATTACAAAAGTTTTACGAACAATTAAAAAAAGGTAACAAAAAATTTTACATAATAAAAGAAAGAAAAAAATAAAAAAATATTATTTTCTATTAGAAATATGATTGTCAAAAAAGCATTCCAGACACATAAAATGTTTCTCACAAGTTTTACATTTGGTTTAAACTTGTGTTGAATTTTTTGTTGCGTATGCTCGCCCATTGGCATCCTTATATTTTTTGTAGCATATAGCACAACGTCCTTTTTTTCAGTTGGGTTGGGATCAATCTGTGTTTTAGTCGATCTTGCAGTTGAAAGTCTAAAGGATTTTTTTTCCAAAAGCAAGCATTTTAAAACATAAACTTTCTCGTAATTCTGTTATTTGATTTTGATCTACTTTGTTATTGTTTGTATTAAATAAATAACAAGCATTTACGACACAAGTTCTAGTAATTAATTCTACTGCAACTTTACGGTACCATTTAAGACTTCGTCTTACAGAAGTTGAATATGAGGACATCTGGTCAGATAAATCAATAAACGTTTTTGCTTTGTTATATTCAACAACTACCTTGGGTTTAAATTTATTTATTCTGTCTGAACTTCAACTAGCGTTTCATCATGTTTTGTGTAAGCATCAACACGTCCCTTTTATCTTTCCATTTGAATAGAACTATGCCATCTTTCTCTCTGCCTATAATTTCGCCTTTTTTCAATTTTGTTGACAAAATTTCTTTTGGAATCCCTTTCCTACTTTTTGTGAGTGTCCCGACTAGATGGGTTTTTCTTTCAAGTAATTTTTGGGCTAAATCGGTGATGGTATACCAGTTATCGGTATACAGAGTCATGCCTTTATCAAGACACTCACCCATAAGTTCAAAAACAATCTTCATGACTACCAGCATGTCATTTGATTTTTCTGTTCCGCAATATATTTTACAATGGCAAGTATACCCTCCAGGGAGACATAGCTTGAAAATTCCAAATTTATGCCTTTTTCCTTTAACATATTGTCGAAAAATTAAGCGCCCCGAAGGGTACCATTGTTTCTTCTGTACAGACATTTTCGTCAGGAAAGATAACTTGCTTGAACTTCTTATTTAGGGAGTCAACTAGAAATCGAATTTTGCCGAGTCGGTCTTCTTCTTCGCATTGTTCATTGTTAGCGAAATGCTACATTCTTAGAATATTTGAAAGCTGTTTCGAGACATTCGGTTTGCCGTTTCAGACCAATAAATTTAAGAACATTTCCAATAATCCGTGATTTTCGGTTTTTTGTGTAAACCCATCCATAGCAGAAAACCCAAAAAACAATACATTTCTTTGCACGTTACGTTGGCCCATTTACTTAGTCTAGCGGAGGCATGAGAGTCTCTTCCGTAATGGCTTTTATTATGGTTTGTTCCGCGTATAAATTGGTTTCGGTTACTAAGGTATTTATAAGCTCGTCATCAAGAAATAATTCATAGTAATCAAATATATCTTTACCTTTCATATCTTGTACTTCTTTCACCAGAAAAATGTCCCATCAAAATCAAAGTCTTTGGAATCTCCAACAACTACGCCCAATCCGACCCATTTTGCTCTTCATCATTTGACGACTGATTTATTTCAGAATCCTCAAATTTTGAAACAAAAAAATCATGGTTAGGAAAGTTTTACGCTAGGTAGTTAATATTCCTTGTGTTATTGTTAGTCGGAAAAAAATTGCAGATAACTTTGACGATTTATTCATAATAATTATTATGAGTTTTTTAATATTTGATACTAAATTTTTATTACCTATTGAGAAACAATCTTGAGTTTTGTTTTGATGTTCTAACTTTGGTAAATAATAAAATTCCCTGAGTGATAATTTGAAACAATCGATAAATAAAATGTCAAATTTTATACAATATATATGCAAAAGAAAAAATTAGTAACCTTCAAGTTCCAGCTTCTTAATCCGTCTTTTTGTTCTGGGTTGCAAGTCAATACACTACTACCAGCACTCGAACTCTCTTGTTGGTACACAGGGTCATTATCTGAGTCGTTGTAATATGGATCCTCGGTATCATCGCTCATATTGTCATCCTATAAACTCTGCAATCTCCGTTATTCTTTCTCGTAAGACATTATGCACAATAATTAATTTAAAAGCATGTTGCGAATGTTTCTTTACAACTGACGATCTTCTCGTATTCCCGAATTACCGGTCATCAACGTCTTCGTCAAGGTTAGACCTCCTCCTAAATGTGTATACAAAAGTATACACGTGGCGCACAGACACATTTTCCATTCTCTAAGCCGCGTGTATATTTTTGGCACACACACCAAACACACATGCGCACTAATATTTTTTGTCAAAAATGTTGTTTACTATGTTAATTAAGTAATTTAGAGATAGTTTAAAAAAAAGCCGTGGCGGCCAAAGTGTTAAAACAAGGTTAAATGTGCAATTTGCTCGCGGAACAATCCAAAAGGATTGTTCCGTTCTTGCAGACAGCTTTGATCAGGAACAGATAATTCTCCAAGAACTCCATACTGCCACAAAAAGAGTTGATCTTAAAATAAATTTTTCAAAAACACAATGTATGACAAATTTAGGCCACGACAAAACATCTTAGTAGAAGACAAAGATATTGAGCTAGTTGACTCCTATAAATACTTGGGCCATGAGATCAGAATAAGTCGAGACAACCAAACAATCGAGCTGAAAAGAAGAATAAACCTCGCTTGGGCTGCATTTGGAAAATTGAAGGATTTTTAGGTCTAAGATTCGAATGTGTCTGAAAAGAAAAGTATTTAATCAGTGTATTTTACCAGTAATGACCTACGGCGCAGAAACTCTAACACCCACAAGAACAACAGTGAGTAAACTACAAGTTGCGAAAAGGGCAATGGAGAAAATAATTTTAGGGATTTCTGTAGGTGATAGAATACCCAATGCTACTATACGCAAAAGATCAGGAGTAGCAGACGTTATTGAAAGGATCTTCTTACTCTAGTTCCATGACCGTTATCGATCGTTGGATATCATTGACTTTATTGACAGCAGCTCTAAATAACGATGTATTTGATTTTCCACACCATTGCCTTAGATTTTTCAGCATGATGTTCTTCTTCTACCAGGACCACGATTACCTGGATCTTTCCTGAATGATTAGATGTAAAAGATCATATTTTTCAGGTGTCTCATATATGACGAAGTATTCCAGCTTGCGTTTCTTTATTGTATGACAGTTGTGTTGTTTGGTTCAGCCGTCTAAGGACCTCCTCATTTCTAACTTTGTCTACCCAGCTTATTTTTAGTAGCTGTCTATATACCCACATCTCAAAGGCTGTCAAGCGTTTAAGGATAGCCTGGATTAGAGTCCACGCTTCCACTTCATACAGCAGAACAGAAAAGATGTAGCAAGATGTCATTCGAACTCTAAGGTCAATGCTAAGATCGTGACTGCAAAGGACGTTTCTAATTTTTACAAAGGCAGCTCGGGCTTGTTCTATTCGGCTTTTAATTTCTGCAGTTGGATCCCACCTCATTGAAAGGATAACAACACTAAAGTGGAACTGGGCAGGTCATGTAGCAAGATCAGTTGATGACCGGTGGACAAAAAGAATTTTGGAATGGAGACCCCGAATACAGACTAACAGAAATAGAGGTCGACCCCCAACGAGATGGACAGATGACATAAAAAGAGTGACTACAAATTGGATTCAGATGGCGCAAAATCGGACTAAGTGGAAAAGCATGCGAGAGGCCTATGTTCAGCAGTGGACGTTAGAGGCTAGTTGATGCTGATGATGAATCCGAAAGGATCTTCCCGGCAAAAACCATACGATATTACTATTATACCATTTAAAATAGTTCATAATTTTTTTCTAAATATTTATCTGTGTATTTCGTTTAGCTTTAAAGGAGGGTAGCTATTATTAAAATGCACTGTAATTACCGTTTAACATTTGCTGTCCAGGTAAACTTTTTTAAAAGATAACAATATAAAAAAGATTGCGAATTCACCTCCGTTCTTTTAAATTCGCTGGCGTGTGTATTTTATTTTTCCGTTATTCGGATCCATTTAATAATTTTAACTATCTTCACGCCTGTCTGAATCCATATCTAATATTTAATTTATATGTGAGTTTCCATTTAATATTATTTCTGCTGACTCATGTGTAAACATGTGTAAAATCCCGTAAAAAATTGTGTTTACTTATACTATCAGGCATGTTTAAAATGTTTTTTTCTTTTTAGCGGAATTTGAAGTCGGCACGCCATTAGCTGGAGGACCTTGTAATTTTTTGGTAAAAGGGGCAGTGAAACACACTGGATCAATCTTAACGCCGACTTACCCTGGCGCCTATCCCAAAGCGCTTCACTGTACTTACCAATTTCTTGGTGCTCCGGGAGAGAGGATCCGATTGGAATTCAGGGATTTTGATTTGTTTTTTGGAGGGCCACAGTAAGTATTTTTAGTATAAGGAAATTGTTGTGTTGAGTTTTTTTAATATAGAGGCATAGATATAACAATGGAACTGGCTAATGAAACAATACACTAGAATATATGAACCGGATGTAAGAAAACCGAAAGAAGAAAGAGAAGAATTTTGTGACACTACAATGTACGCTTGAAACAGATTCATTTAAGCCATAGTATGCAAATTGCATAATAAAACCTTACGAACTAATAAGTTTAAGTTATTGCATGGATACCCAAATGTAATATAAAAATACTTTAGTTACTTGTACATAAAAGTACTATAATTTCTTAGTTATTCGTTAAGAAACTCTTCCGCTAGATAATATGGCCTTTCAGATTAATAGGCTTTTGTCATTTACGGAACTTAAGGAAAGAAGTAGATTTAAGTTGCAAAGGGAGATGGTTGTATAATTTTTTTCCAAATATGGTACAGATTTCTTTACTAACCAAGTGGACGGGATCGGTAAATACACATTAAAGGTTGAATTTCTGATGGAGTTGTTGATGGAGATGTTAGGTATTGCTCGAAAAACGTGTAGGTGTTTACGAATTAAGCAAACAGTTTCTAAAATATGTAAAGAGGAAAGAGTTAAAATCCCGTAAAGTTTTTAATTTAAAAATAACATTAGATTGGGCAGCAGTACAAGAACCCAAAAAAGGAAGACCATATCGAAGATGAGACTCGAACAAAGAAAAATATGTTATTTTGGAAGATGCTTAATTGATTTCCTTCGAAACAGATCTTATTGCATAGCAGGCTGAGGCTAGTTTCTTACTTAACAAATCGATATGAAGGGACCATTTAAGGTTGCTGTCTATAAAAATACCAAGAAATTTTACAGAATCACGATACTGATCTGGCTGTTATTAAGAAGCAAGGTTGAAGAGCTCCTTTATAGGATAATGCTACTGTCTTATCACATAAAAGAGAGTAAATTAGAGTCTGACCATGTGTTTATTTTACAAGATCAGAAGTTATAGTTGCATGAAAACTTGCAATATTAGAGTTCTCAGGTGATACTGGTATCATCAGCAAAAAGAAAAAATTTCCATCGATTATTAAGTTAGTGATGTCATTTATAAAGATAAGGAAAAGTAGAGGACCCAATACTGAACCTTGTGGTACTCCACATACGATGCTTTTGTGACTAGAGTCAGTATCATTTGCTCTAACTAGTTGTTTCCTATTCCAAGTAAGATTGGAACCAATTAAAAGAAATACCTCGAATTCCGTAGAAATTTAGTTTTTTTATCAAAATGTCGTGATTTACACAATCAAAAGCTTTGGTATAGTCACAAAATAGTAGCAGTGTAAAGTTTATTGTTTAGTGCTTGATAGAACTTATGTAGTACAGAAAACATAGCATCACTGGTACATTTATTAGATAAAAACCCGAACTGACTTTGTGATAAAATGTTGTTTTCAACAAGAAAGGACATAAGTCGGGCTTTTATCAGTATCTCAATAATTTTGGATAGGACAGGTAGTAAGGCAATAGGTCTATAGTTGCAGACATTAGATTTATCACCACCCTTATGAAGAGGAACAATAATGGCTGTCTTTAGGCACTCTGAAAATATACCTTTTTTAAAGGAATCGTTAATTAGTGAGACCCGGACTTCCAACACATTATTTGTGAGATTTAAGAAAATTTTTATGGATAGTCCATTAGTACTACAGGAAGATTTGATTTTGATACAAAAAAAAATTGTGACCGGTTGAATGCCAAATGCTTATGCCAAAAAACAAAACAAAAAACAAACATAATGTTGCCACCAATGATCCAAGATTCCCCAAGAACAACTTCATCTTACAACATGACAATTACCCGGTGCATACGAGTAGAATTTTTTGACAATGATTAAAGAAAAATTTATGTTCATTGTCTTACGTGGCCTGCTCGGAGTCCTGACCTTGACCCCATCGAAAATATGATCGCAGAATTGACAAATAAATTAAATAAAAGGAACCTTAGGCCAGAGAAGAAAATTGAACTATAGGTATCAATTGAGCAGGCATAGGAGGAGCTTGTTGCAATATAACATGAGGTGATTGATGCTCTATATGAACAGAAGATTGCAAAGTTATCTTGATAATAATGGGGCTTTCACAAAATATTAATTAGGCTACTGTTTATTATTTAATATAAAATAAATTTAAAATCAAATGTATATTTTAACCCACTGCCTTATCTTCGTTATTAAGAACATAATCCATTTTGTTCAAAAAACTTCTTTCTTTAATTTTTAGGTTTATGTTATTTTAATTTTTTAATTTTAATCAACCAATTCCGAACCAGCCACTGGTAATTAACGTCACTTTAACGCAAAATGTGCGTTTAAACTAAATAAAAATTTAAAAAATAGGCTACTAGATATGTAAGGGTGTAAACTATTTGAAGAGTGCAGCCGTAACTTCGTTAAGTTAGCCAAAATTTATTAATTTACATTTTAAAGTTAAGAAAATAGTTGAGAGGATGAACTTTAACCTTTAACTACGGGCGCCCCTCCATTAGTCATAACTACGTGCGCGGTGTATTCTGTACACCACCGACTAAAAACGCAAATAAAAGCCACAACTAGGTATTTTTAGTACATATATTGTATATAATAAATGTAGGCATATATTTAAGAGAATGTCTTAACATAAAAAATAATACATAACGAAAATATAAAGATTAGCAACAAATATAAGAACAAAAACTCAACCACTTCTTTTTCTCTAAAAATAACCTTCTTGAGATTCTTGTATATTAGCTTAACATTAAAAATATTATAAAACTAGTATATAAATCTAAAAACTAGGAGTAAATAATCATTCACAAATGAACATATTTGAGAATATGTGTGCTATTCACTTTCGTTTTCTTCCTCGTTTGCGTCTACTAAATTACAATTTGCACAAATTGTAACAGAGTGCTCTTTACAAACCATTCTATTACATTTGTTGCAAGATATTGTTGTAACTCTATTTTTGCTCCTTCCACAACAATGGCACCTCCCCCGTTTTTTTGCTGGTGGTTCTTCATCGTGGTCGTCTTGTACGTTTTTGTATTTCTTCAAGAATATTTTTAAATCCAGAGGTAAACTCTGTATTTCCGCCCTCTCAGAAAGATGAGGTCTTATCAATGCCAATGATAATTCTTTTAGAAAAACTCTTCTATATTTTTGAGGATTGTCGATGTTGGCGCATTGTACAGGATCTGGCTGTTAATTCCGGCAATATTCAGGAGTTGAAAAAACAATGCCATTGGCCATCTTCGTGTTCTTCGGGATACCGAATAGGTACTGCACATTTTGTCTACAGTGTCTACGCCTCCTTTATGTGAATTATAGTCTAAAATTATCATTGGTTTTCCTGTTTCGGGATCTACTGTAGAATTACTGTGCATGGTAGATAGGAGAATGACAGCTTTATTTTTTTTGGTGTGTAGGATACAATGGTAACTTCTTTTTGAAAACCAAAAGTGGATGATCCAATTGGTGTGTTTTTTCTTGGTAAAAACTCTGGAGGTAGTTCCCTTTTATTTCGTTTAAGTGTGCCAACCATCGTTATCTTTTCCTTCAAAAGGTCAATTGCCAACGGATAACTCGTATACCAATTGTCGCATGTTAAATTACGGTTTTTACCTTTCCAAGGTTGAAGCAGGCGATGGGTAATATCCGTTGGTGTGTTAGATTTTTTGTAGGGCCCTTCCGGTTGTTGACCACAATACACCTCAAAATTGGTGACATAAAAGGTCTGCGCGTCACATAACACAAACACTTTTAAGTCATACTTTGCAGGTTTACTTGGAATGTTTTTCTGAAGCTATTGTCTTGTGGCATTGTAAATTACTACTAAACTAACTAATTATGCAAGGAAAGATTGAAGGTAGGCGCAGCATAGGTAGGAGAAGAATGTCGTGGTTGAGAAACCTCAGGGAGTAGTTTGCTTGCACTTCCATACAATTGTTCCGAGCGGCAGCCTCCAGGGTCAAAATTGCCATGATGATAGCCAACCTTCGTAGCGGAGATGGCACGTGAAGAAGAAGAAGATTGTAAATTAATTAATATTAAACTGGGAATAAGCCACAATTAAAGATAAAAATACGTTTATTGACGTTTCAATTTCCACTTCGGAAATCGTTCTCAAAATACAAACAGTAAATTAAACAAATTTTGTTTTTTGTTAAATAGTGAAAAATTCTTCTAATAATTTAATTTTATCTGACTCATTTATATTGACAATTCAGACATACATTATGCATTTTAAAGTAGACGACTTTAAAATGATATTGCCAATATTGTTGAGTTGCGCTCCTGGGACGACTTTACTTATAAGATAGTTCATTCGATTACATGAAATCAACTTTAACTTGAGAATATCCGTCAGAAAAAATCATAGCATGTAATTCGTCTTTAAAAAGACAAACACATGACATGATGACAGTAAAATTCTCCTGTTAGTGATTCCATAGTAAATTATGAGGGAAAAAACAGGAAAAAAACCTCATAATACTATCCCGACATTGTAAGTATTTGTTCGTGAATTTAGTTTACCTTCAACAAACATCAAAATTCTGATTTTATATGTTACGTTATTTAAAAAACATAAATGATGTATCCTCTATATGTTACTGACTTACTAATACTGGTATTTTCTTATTAATAACTTCCTCTTTCAATATTGGTAACCAGATTCTACTACATTCTGCCGAGGAATTTGCGACACAATTGGCCTCATTTAGCATAATTAGAGCCGCTTGTTTGATTTTTCTTTTTTTACCATCCGTTTCTTGTAGGACTACATTTGAATTATTCCATTGAACCTTATGTTCATTATTCCATGCGTGTTTACAGATTTGACATCTATCAAATTCTCTATTTTTAATATAAGATTGATGTTCACTTATTCTAACATTTAATGGCCTTGACGATTCACCTAAATAAAGCTGATCGCATTCACAAGGTATTTTATTTTTTTCTGATAATCTAATTTTAATTTTAATTTCTGATAATTTTCTAATAAATTAAATTATTAGAAGAATTTTTCACTATGTAACAAAAAACAAAATTTGTTTAATTTACTGTTTGTATTTTGAGAACGATTTCCGAAGTGGAAATTGAAACGTCAATAAACGTATTTTTATCTTTAATTGTGGCTTATTCCCAGTTTAATAGTAATTAATTTACTTGGAATGTATTGCACAAAGTTGCATCTACCTCTAAAAGGTATCAACATTTTATCGATAGTCATTTCTTCTCCCAAGGAATAGTTGCTGCTACAGTTTTTCATAAACGTATCAAGAGTAAAGCGAATTTCAGCAAGTTTGTCAATTGATTTTCGGTCCTTTCGAGTATCTTTGTTGTCAAACCTAAGAGCAGCAAGCAAAAATAAAAATCGATCTGCGCTCATACAAGCTCGAAAGATTTATGAGCCGATACCATCTTTTGTCCACAATTCGAGGAAGTGTGTATGATTTTGTTATTTAGTCCCTGCAAGAAATAATAATCCTAATAATGTCATGATTTTCCTGTTTAGTCGTATCTTTAACCCGTCTTGGCCGTTTATAATTTAATCGCATTTTTGCAATCTGCAAATTTGTACATTCAACTATATTTTCTATGATTTCATTTCTAAAGAGTTTTTCAAAAGCACTTAGTTCCGTACTAACATCTCTCGCACAAACTGTTGGCCCAGGAAATATCTTGACAATATTTTTTGAAGGAGTTTTAGTAAATTTGCTAAGAAGAGATTTCTGATACCATTTGATTTTTCTGTCTTTTGCTATAAAATAATCATTATCTTCATCAAGATCTGAACTGTTTTCAATGTTACTGTTTGTGTCCGAGTCAATCGTATATTGATTTTCGTCATTCAGTGTCGTGCTCCGTTTTTTCTATTAGCTCGTCGTCTGAAGTATCTGGGTCTACACCAACATCTTCATCAGATTCTTCCTCAAATATAGCTTGAGCCATAGCTCTAAGTTCATCTTCTGAGAGTTTTTGGGGATTTCTTACTGGTACACGATCCCTGCAAAGTAAATATTTTGTAGTACCTCTCGATTTATAAACGTTACGAAGACGTTATGAGGAAATAAAGAAAAGGATTACACAAGCTAGAAGAACAATTGGCTGTCTAAATGGAATACTTTGGAGCTCTGAAATAGGAATAAAGCGAAAATATAACATCTATGAGTCACTAATTAAAAGCAGTCTACTTTATGGAGCAGAAACTTGGAGAATAACCGAGAACAACAGAAAAAAATTAGAAGCTGTAGAAATGGATGTGTTTAGAAGATCGTTAGGTATATCCCGCAGGGAAAGAGTTCGAAATGAGGAAGTAAGACGAAGAATTGGAATAGATGGTTACTTAACAACAGACATTGAGAGGAAACAGTTGATTTGGTATGGTCATGTTCAAAGAATGGAAGACACAAGACTACCCAAGAAGATTATGCAGTGGGTACCACCAAACCGCAAAAAACGAGGAAGACCCAAAAAGACATGGAAAGAAGGGGTAACTAAAGCAATGAGTACAAGAGATCTTAGAGACGGCCAATGGGATGATAGAAGGACGTGGAAGTTAGGCATCGGACAACGTCGAAAGACGTTCTTAAAACCGATATATATATATATATATATATATATATATATATATATATATATATATATACGAGAAATATATAGAGGTAACGTTTGTAATTTTTATTATTTATTTCTAATTAATATTTCAAAGAGACATGACCGTATTGCTATGGAAGAAAGAACATGAAAAAACAAGACCACAAAAACAACTAGAAGGTCGTTAAATAGTCCAATAATAGGTACTCACAAATATCCAAATAGATAACGGTATATTAAGTTATGAGAAAATGCTAAAATAAAATATTTGAACAAATGTATTACCATAAAACTAGTTTTAATATAATAAAATGAAAGCTTTATTAAAATTTTAATAACAAATTACAAATTCTTTTATTCAAAACGTTGCAAAATGTCTAGCTTTTGTTACATATAAGTCGCTATACATTAATAATGCTATTTTTTAGTAGATAAACGTAATATAAATCTCACAAAATTTACTTACATAACTAGGTGCTTGGTGTACTACATACACCACTGGTAAACTTCTCCTGAATTTTTCCAACCGTCAGTCTATCTCTGCAGCAATCAATTTTACAACTGTTGAGGTTTATAGCTGACACATTAGAGATAGGTTAGGTAGAGGGACACGTGCGCAACCAGTGCTTATTAGAAATAGCGGCCAATTTAGTGCGACTGGTGTACTGAGTACACCGTAGCCCGTAGTTAAAGGTTACATATGCATACTATATATCAAAACTAAAAGGCAATATTTTATTTGTGTATTACACGTTTGCTTTTTTTGTAGTTGTCCATTTGACTACGTGAAAGTGTACGATGGGCCAGATAATAGTTCAGCTGTGATTGGAACCTATTGTGGACAACAACGTAATCTAGTCATTTATTCGTCTGAATCCTCTCTTCTCATTGCATTCGTCACCCTCCCACGCACTGCCAATACTCAGAACCGAGGTTTTAAAGGAATTTTTGAGTTTTCAAACTCATTTACAAAATTAGGTAAGATATTTATTGCCTTATTGATGCATGCTATGTTTGATAAAAGCTATTATGTCGAAGGAAATATTAAAATTCATGATATATAATCTTTCGTAATTGTTAACAAACCTCGCGAATGATTTTCATGTATTTTTTTCTACTGATTGTCACCTTTTGACGTTAGTGTTAATAATATTAGTTAGTTTAATAATTTCGTTTAATCTGTCGCAACTGGCTAGATGATTAACGTCTATGCCATTAAAAAAACTAATAATTTCGCATTGACCGAAGCCATGAGTTCACAGAAGCATGAAAACTTTGCTCTTTTGTCCACTTTACAGCTAACGAATTCGTCTGTAGTCATTTGTTAAGTTTCGCAGGTATTTTTGGGGGTTCGTGGCACGTTAGCTATGTTAATTGTAAAAATGACATCGGCTGAGGATATGATCTGAAGTCGATCTAATCGAAGAAGTGAAAGATCTCCCCAAAAAAACGACAAAAATGGCGCTGGTGGGCAACATCATTGTTCAAAAGCATTATTAACCCTGCTGTATCGTTCAAGTCAACTATGCAAATGTACTGTTCGGGTCAATATGACCCAACTATGGTTTACGGTCCTTAATCGAAATAAAATAAGCTAATGGTGCTAAACAAAACTTCATTAACAAAAAATTATAGTTAATAAACAAAAATTATGTTGCTAATGTAAATTAAACCTTATTAATAAAAATAAAAGGCATTTTTTCCCAGAAAAGCCTAAGAACAAATACCTAAAAAAATTTATTTAGATTACAACTGGAACAGTAATAAAAAAATGGGTTTTACAAATATATTTGTGACATATACAACATTAAATATTAGTCTTGTTTGTTTTAGAGCAAATTACAGCTGCCGTTTACAGGCGAGTTGATTGTCATAGACGGTTCTAGTCTCTACTCGCTTCTGTTCGTGTTCTTTTTTGTTCTTGTGAGTCTTTAGTTTTTGGTAATTTTTTTCTGGAAAGGATAAGTGGTTTTACCAGTGTTTTTTCCAATTTCTCAAGAAAAATTCGCCGTTTGGTAAGTTTGTTGGTGTTCTACTGTGGATTTATTGATATCCATAAATCGAACGCATTGTAGGCAGGAATGTCCAGCTTATTATGAAAAACTGTCATAGGCTAGCGATTTGTCTTTCTCTTACATGTATATGTAATAACAAGCTGATCTAAAGTATCCACTGCTCCCTTACTGGAATTGTAATCTAAAATAATTTGGGACTTTTTGTCATTTCTGTCACGAATAGCCTTATCATGTTGCAAAGTGCTCATAACAATAACATCTGGCTCTGGCTTACTTTTTCTTATAGTCCCCAGCATTGTGTTTTTTTCTTTTTAAAAGACGTCCTAAATTTTATAATTTAAAAAAGTGATCACAAGTAATATTGTGGCCTTTCAAATCACTACACAAGTCGCACAACACACGCATTCCCTGATTCCGTTCAGGCGCGGCACCTGCTTTCTTTCTTTGCTCGTTTGCTTGAAATGTACTCCTTGAAGGAACAGCGACCTCTAAAGGCAACTATATGCTCGTCCACAGTAACAATTTAATCAGGGTTAAAAAATTTTGGTAGATTTTCTACCCATTTTTCTCAAATTCCACGTATTGCAGCAAGTTCATTAGTATGTCTCCTATCCTGTCTAGTAGTCTTGTTATCAAAACGTATTACTTGCAAAATTTTTGTAAATACTTCCAGAGAAATTGTTGCTTGACATACACCACGACCCGTTTATTCATTCCACAAACTTTTAGTATCGTCAAATGAATTTTAAAATCATCTAAATAAAACCAATGTATGCTTAAAACCATTTTATTAAGTCTTTCAGTTGGTTCAAAAACGCTGTCATACATGTTGGTCATATTTATAAATTGGTTGCAACTGTGTCAATAAAGAGTACGTCAAATAACATTTTTTATTTGACAAATCGTGATATGCAAACGATGTACTGCAGGATGTTACACGTGGAATAGAACAGCAGAATTATCACCACTTTCTTCCTCACTTTCACTACTTGTATTGTTTTCTGTCTCTGATATGCACTCATCACTCTCTGACACATTCGCGAGCTAGCGAAGCTCATCTTCGGTTAGCGTTCTTCGATGCGACATTATCAACATGCAAACATAGACGAAATTTAAAATGTAAATGGCATATCAGTGTCCTACCAGCCTACCACTTGTCTATCACCCCCCACTTCCTTCTACGTGACATGCAATTATAAATGACATCGTCCAGATATACTACACATTTTGTACAAGTTCTAGCTTGCAAAAACTTGTTTCTATTTATAGATGTACCTGACTGACATACTGTTAGAAAATTTATAAAATACTGCCAACTAAATATACGTACACAGATAATTTTTACCGGTTTAAATACGTGGGTTATAATGACCCGAACGTACTATAGGTAACAATTTAATTTTTATCAAAAAAATCAGGAAGTTGATTTTTTATCTCGTATGCAAATAAAAGACCGCATATTAGGTAATAAAGTCACGAAACACCAAAACGTAACGCCACGTAATAATTTTCAAAATAAGAAATATTTTTTGTTTGGGTCAAATAGACCCGAACAGGACAGCAGCGTTAAATGAAATTGGTCCAAAATTCGCGAAAGAAGATACAAAGTTTAGAGAAGCGATACCGCCAACAGAAAGATAATGTTGACCCTACGATATTTAGCTAATGGTAACTCATATATATCAGGATTAATAAAAGAACCACTCTGAAAGTGATCCAAGTGTACGCTCCGACCAAAAGCCACGACGATGAAGAAGTAGAAATATTTTATGATGAAATAAGAACTGCTATAGAAACAAATAAAGCAAATTACGAAATACTATTAGGAGATTTTAATGCTAAATTGGGCAAAAAAGAGGAAGATTATGAACATTTTATTGGTAACTATGGCTACGGGAAAAGAAACTGAACAATGAACTCCTTTTTCAATAAAAAACCAAGCAGAAAATGGACATGGATGAGTCCCGATAAAAAGACAAAGAATGAAATAGATTATATCTTAACGAAGAATAGAAACCTAGTAGAAGACGTATCAGTATTAAATCAGTTTGACCTAGGAAGCGATCATAGACTAATAAGAACAAAACTAGTAATTAACAAAAAACTAGAAAGAAAAAGAATACATGAAAAAAGATACACATGGACATCTGAAGAAATCAAAAATAGTGAATTTAATAAAAAGATAGTGCATGCATTAAATCAAGTTAGCATGCAGCAGATAAACTCCAATGATATTGATGATTTGAATAACCTTATTACCGAAACAGTGAATAAAAGCCTTCTGCAACTGAAAAAACTGAAAACAACATACAATGAATTAGACAAAGAAATATTACAACAAATAGAAAGAAGGAAGATCTTAAATAAATCTAACAAAAGGGGAACCGACGAATATAGAGAACTTAATAGGCAGATTAGAAAAGGAATCAGACAACAAAAAAGAAAAGAAAACGAAAAATTAATAACAACAACTATTGAAAAAAATAAGAGTATGAAATGTCTCAGACCGACACTAGGACGACGTCAGATGATATCATTAATAGGAAAAGACGAAAATGAAATCACAAGTAGAGAAAACATACTGACACGAATAGAAGAATTTTACACAGAACTTTACAGATCACATCAACAAGATGATGAGATGAGACCAGCACGGAAATTAATAAAAAATGTTGGATCAGAAATAATGCCAAAAGTAACAATTTCAGAGGTAACTACAGCATTGGAAAACATGAAGAGAAATAAAGCTGCAGGAGAAGATAGTATTACCACAGATATGATATTAGAAGGAGGTCAGGAACTAATTGCAATTGTAACTAAGCTTGTGGACAGTTGTTTACATCAGGGCAAAGTCCCTAAGAGCTGGAACAACTCTAAAGTAATCTTATTGCACAAGAAAGGTGATAGTCGAAAATTGGAAAACTACAGACCCATCAGCCTATTGTCACACCTGTTTAAAATACTCACCAAAGTCATAACTACTCGACTAACAAGGAAATTAGACGAATACCAACCATATGAACAGGCAGGTTTTAGAAAAGGCTATTCAACTTCCGATCACCTGTTAACCACAAAAATATTAATAGAAAAATGTAACGAATACAAGTTTCCAGTTTTCCTTGCATTTGTAGACTATGAAAAAGCTTTCGATACCATAGAACACACGGCCGTAATAAACGCAATGCAAAATTGTAGAATAGACAGCAGATATATTAACTTAATAAAAGAAACTATGAACCAAGCTACAGCTACATACTACCTAAATGAAAATGAACACACGAACCCTGTACCACTAAACAGGGGAGTCAAACAGGGAGATACTTTATCACCCAAACTGTTCACCTTAGTTTTGGAGGACGTTTTTAAAAACCTAAATTGGAAATATAAGGGAATAAACATCAATGGCCGCTACCTCAGTAATCTACGATTTGCAGATGACATAATCCTGATAGCTACTGACCTACAAGAAATGCAAACCATGCTTGTAGAACTTCATACCGAATCTTCTAAAATAGGACTGAAAATGAATTTAAACAAAACAAAAGTCATGCACTCCGAAGACACCGTGACAATAATAAACGATAAAGTTATAGAAAAAGTTGAAGAATATATATACTTGGGACAAAAAATAATCCTAAATAGGGAAATTCAGACTGAAGAAATAAAAAGAAGAAGAAAGTTAGCTTGGGCAGCATTCGGTAAACTGAACTATATACTCAGAAATCAACAAATTCAATTACATCTTAGATCTAAAGTTTTTGATGCATGCATTATCCCGATATTAACTTATGCGGCACAAACATGGACAATCACAAAAAAGAATATGAATATACTTAGAGTCACTCAACACGCGATGGAAAGAGCAATGCTAGGTATATCACTTAAGGACAAGAAAACAAACACATGGATAAGACAGAAAACCAAAGTCACCGATGTGGTGCAAAAAGCATTAAAGCTGAAATGGGAATACGCTGGACATGTAGCTAGGAGCGATCTAAACAAATGGCACAGATCAATTTTAACCTGGAGACCATACCAACACAAAAGACCCAGAGGCAGACCTCCTATGAGATGGACAGATGATCTGAAAAGGACTGCCGGGAAAAATTGGCTACAAGTAGCGTACAATAAAAAACAATGGAAAGGAAGACTTGAAGAGGCTTATGTTCAGATGTGGACGTGAATGGCTAGACGAAGAAGAAGAAGAAGAAGAACTCATATATAAGTTGTATGTACTGGGTTCTCTAAAACTTCTTACTCTCGATATAAACCAATAGGTGTTAAATAAGATAGTTAAATTAAAAAGTCCACTTCATTATTGCAAATTAGATAATTAAAATAAAATCACGACGATGTTCGATACTTTTACTCGGAAGCGTACACACTGTGGTACTAACCACAGCCAAAAGAATTACTTCTCAATTTTCTTTTGATGTACCGCCCAGTGAGCTTATTCCAGCGAAGGCAAATACGTACGTTTACTATCGTTTGTTGGGGCGTACATATTTACGGAAGGCGTTTTATCGCAAGACTTCGACCACGTGCGTTCGCCAAATGTGTATGCGCCGTGGACAAATTCGAATGAAATTATAATTTTGAATTCTTTCAATTCCCTGTATCCGATTCTTCTCGATTGACGATGATAAAAGATCGTAATCGAAATGTTGAAGTCGTGGAGTAAAATATTGTTTTATTGACAGCTACTGAATTATTACATTATAGTTGTTGTTGAGGTAAAAATAATTTATAATAGACTGCGTCCCAAACTAGTCCCGAAGCTGTATTTATAATCTAACTAAAATGCTACGATTCATTAAATAAGTGTATTGCCCTTTGCATAGAACAAAAACCCTTGACTTTTGAAAGCTGGCAAATATAATTTGAACTGAGGAACTGATTGCAGTCATTTCCTCAATACATATTAGGTTACCTTTAGTTTGCTGTAAGTTGAACAAATTTTAATTAAGCTATTATTCGATATGTTGTACGATTATACACGACGAGGAGAACGAGGTCCCTCACCAGTCACGAATGTATATAATAGTCACTCTATATTATTATGCACTTTATAAGAACCAAGGAATGTACGCAGTGCAAAGTTTACAATAACAGTACTTATCATTTAACTCTATAGCTTTATTAACCTTATGTGCATTTCAGATAAAAAATATCCACCTTAAATAACTTTTGAACTTCTAATTAAAAAAAAAACACAAAAACGCGTCAATTATTATTTAAAGGGGGAGACATTATATCATATTTAAGGTTGCTGGGAAATGCACCCTCTCACCCGCTGTATCATCTTTGTTTTTAATTACTTCCTCCTTTTTTATTTCATATTTGCATTCTCGTTTTGTACTGATTTCAAAAATATATCACACATGATGCTTGAAGTGATTAGTTTATGAGAAAAACAAATACAAAAGCAAGAAAACTGGATTGAACAAAAATTATTTTTTTAGCAGTTTTATAACATTTCGAATGAACATTTCACTACCAAAATTGTTTACAATAATTGTTTAAAATGACTGCCATTTACTTTCCGTACAATAGTACAATCTATTTGATCATTCTTCTCTGACATTGCTTAACACGTCTGCATTTAATTGTCGACATTCATCCTCTATTGTTTGTTGTAAAACTTCTAGAGATTCTGGTTGAACAACATAACTTTTTGTTTTTAATTACTTCCATAAGAAAAAGTCTAAGGATGTTAAATCTGGTGTCCTAGGTGGCCAATCCATCATCTGTCCTCTTCTGTCTATCCAATGAGCGGAAAACGTTTCGTTTTAAAATTGTCGCTCAGGTAGAGCAAAGTGTAGAGGAGCTCCATCGTTTTGAAATACAACCAAATCTTCGGAAAGATTTAGCGAAAGAAGGGTCTATCGTTTAACCTTTGAGGATGATGGTTGTACAATTTACGTACAATACGTGGATCATTCTCAGCCAAAATCGGTACTTATGTCTGTTTACCAAACTATTTAATGAAAATGAGCATTCGTTGGAAAAGCAAATATTGTTTAACAATTGCGGATTGTTAATGATGTGTCATTGATAGGCAAAATTCAAGACAACGATCAAAATCTCTTTCGTTTAACTCTTGTACTAATTTAATTTTATATGGATGAAACTTAAATTTATGGAGGACTCGGAAGGCTGTAGAAGATGAAACACCAATTGCTCTGCTTATTCTTGACAGTGACTGTGATTGCTCAGGCTCAATGTTAACTTGTCCTAAAATAGTTACTTGGATTGCTTCGTTATTTACAAGTACCTGTCGGTTATGTTTTTTATTGCAAACTGACTCTGTTGCTCTAAATTTTTGCATCAGTTCAATCACATACTTATTTGCATATTATTATTTTTGTAGTATTATCCTACAATTTTGATTCATTCTTGCAACTTGTAAACCATTTCAGCGATCAAATTGTACACGTATCAAAATAGTCTATTATAAGTTATGACAAATTGTCATTAGCTATTAATCAATTAAAATAACTGTCCAAATAATATCAAAAACCTTTAATAAAGCTTTAATAAAAGTGAAGCTTTTTGTTTCTTGATTCTTGAAGGTACTAAAAATAGTACGGTTAAATATTTTAAAAGTTTAAATTATACTACAACATATTTTGGTACAGTCAATTCAGGTGAGAGAGATACTATCTTGTTAAAAGAAAAATTGTCTGTCATGAACTAATCACTTTTCAACCAAACTTTTCACAATCAAGCCAAATGTATTATACATTTCTAAAATCAGTACAAATAGAAGAAACCAAATATCAAATAAAAAGGGAGAAATAATTAAAAAAAAATAAAGGGATGGTACGGGGGTGAGAGGGTGCATTTCCCAGCAACCTTAAATATATTATAATGTTTTCCCCTGCAACTATTAATTGACGTGTTTTTGCGTTTTTCCTAAAAATTAGAAGTTCAACAGTTATTTAAGTTTGATAGTTTTATCTGAAAAGCACTGAATTTTACTTCTATAATAAATCTTTGTGTAAATATTTAAAACAAAAGCAAAAACAAAATAATAATGCATCTATTAATGAAAATTAATTTTTTAGATTTCATAAAAAACGATGGGGAACACATCCGAGGTACTGAGTGTGATCAAAAAATTCTAAGTAAGAAAGAATCCAGCGGCGTTGTCGTCAGTCCGAATTACCCGTTTCCTTACATGCCTAAACTGGTCTGCAGGTATTTCATCTACGGCATGCAAGATTCGCAGCACCTCGAAAGAGTGCGTTTGGATTTTGTTATGTTTGAAGTACCTAAAGGACCGAAAGGAGAGTAAGTATAAAATATGTTTTTTGATAAATATTTATTTAAATTTCCAGGGTATACTACAATAATTTCCCTTAGTTAAAAATGCCGTTTTTTCATTAGCAACCCTTTATTGAAATAATTCCTACGCCACTGGATTTAGAGTGGCTTTAAAGAGCTATGACAACAATTTCCTTAACATAATATTTACAAGTAACAAACTTATAAATAACAAATTTTAAAACTTACCAACGTTGAGGTCCTACAGCGCATGAGAAAATAAAAATAAGTGCTTAATTTAGTGAAACAACGTAAATTTGAGTACCTCGGGCACGTGATGCGGAACGAAGAAAAATATCGAATTCTTCAACTCGTCATGCAGGGTCAAGTATTTGGCAGGAGAGGACCTGGACGCCGTCGTATCTCGTGGTTAAAAAACATCCGACAATGGTTTGGAATGACCTTCTCGGAGCTGTTTCGCTGAGTAATCAACAATACCATGACAGCCTTGATAATCGCCAATATCTAGAACAGATAGGGCACTGAAGAAGAAGAAAATAAATTGAACAGGGCTGTAGGCCTTTTTCACGATGCCATGCGACAAACTGATGCTGCTAAACACAAGTCACCAAAACTGTTATAGCGGCATTTTCGAGATACTGGGAACCACTAAGTAACATCCATGTGTTAGCAACTGTAACTCAAAATCTATTTTTAGTTATAACTGCTAGGCGACAACCTGCAATAAATAAATCAAGTGGGAACATCAAGTAACTATAAGTGGAAATATTGTAAGAAATCGTATTTACGAACTTAATATTTCTAGTCGAAGACCATTTAAATGCCAAACTCTTTCCAGAGAAAATCGCTGCAAGATTAGAGTTGTGTCTCTTGAATACGTTTAAAATTATTCTTTTTCTGTTTACAATATCAGCCATTTCTGCGCTTTCTGTCTTTAAATTTGAATAATACAGAGTTTGTGTGAGATATTACCGAAATTTTTTATTCGTTTGGAAGACCTTTCGATACCATTATGTATGGAAATAATATCGTTCAATGATGAATCTAATATATAATAATGATGAATCTATATACAAGAAATTGGAGGAGGGTATTGCTGATGTACAATTTGGATTTTGCAGCGGTCTTGGCACAAAAGAAGCACCTTTTAGCATACAAGTATTGATACAACGAGCAAGAGATGTTAATACAGATGTCTTTGCCTGTTTTATTGACTTCAAAAAGGCATTTGACAAAGTACAGCATGAAAGGCTTTGAAACTTTGCGAATCGCAAACATCGATGACAAACATATAGGAATAATAGCCAATCTCTATAGAAAACAAGTAGCCAAGATTCGAGTAGACAATCAATTATTCGATGAAGTCCCAATACAAAGAGGAGTACGACAAGGTTGCATACTCTCGCCTTTGCTGTTTAAGGCGTACTCTGAACATCTATTTCAAGAAGCTTTGGGAGAAACGACGGATGACGTGATTGTTAACGGTGAAGTAATAAATAAAGATATACAGACGACACTGTCCTTGTTGCGGATAGTGCTGAAGAATTACAAAGACTGATAGATCAAGTAGTTAAGATCGGTAGAAAATATGGAATGAAACTTAAATAATAAGAAGACGACAATTATGATCATGAGCAAAAACCAAGATACAGATTCAAAGTTTATGGCAGACAATGAGGTATTGGATAGAACAGAAAAAATAACATACCTAGGATCACTCATACGATATTAAATGTAGGATTAAAAAGCAAGGAGTGTCTTCCAACAGATGAAAAAAGTTCTCTGTAATTTAATCTATGACTCAAAATCCTTAATTGTTATGTGTTTTCTGTTCTTATGTATGGAGCAGAGGCATGGACACTCACTGATGCATCTTGTAGACAGTTACAGGCTTTCGATATGTGGTGATATCGTCGCATGATCAGAATATCATATGTACATCATATAACTAACGACGCAGTAATGCAACGTTTACAAAAAAAAACCTTGAAATCCATTAAAGAGCGAAAGTTAGCATACTTTGAACATATAGTGAGAAATGAAAATAAATACAGAATCCTACGATTGATATTAGAAGAGAAAATAGAAGGAAATAGAGGACCAGGACGCCGCCGAATATTCTGGCTTAAGAATTTGAGACAGTGGACAGGTATGACCACCACAGACCTATTTCAAACAGCTGCTAATAAAATACGATGGGCCATTGTGGTAGCCAACATCCATAGAGGATAGGCACTAGCAGAAGAAGAAGACAATGAATATAAATCTGACTTAATTTAATCTATAGCATGGATTATGTTGGCTTGAATTTTAGCTGTCGTGTATGGCTTGTTCACATAGATTTTTAACTTAGAACTAAGAAAGAGTCTAATGGAGTCAAATCAAATATTTGTGGTCTATTCACTGACCTCCACGTGAGATGATCATACCCTCAAATTGCTTGTGCAGAATTTTTAATGTGATATGAGCTATCCGGCATATAGAGCCATCCTGTTGATGACCTGGCCAACGTCGTTTTAAAATATATGAACCGATGACGCCTTCAGTCCAAAATACACACAATGTTGACTTTTTTGGGATGGATTGGAACGTTAAGGGATCTTATGTGGGTTAATATCGTGCTAAATTCGACGATTCTGTTCGTTGACATATCCATCTATTTAAATGTGAGCTTTAACAGCAAAGATAATTTTTAAAGAAAATTAGGGTTAGTTTCCAACTACTCCAGAGCTCATCCAGCAAACACACATCGTTGTCTGTCGTTATTTACCTTCAGCTTCTGAAGAGTTGCTAAAATCCCATATGGCGTTATTGGCTAGTTATTGATGAACTATCTTTCTAACTAAGTTATTTGTAATTATTTTTAAGCTCTTAATAATCAGTTGGTAGCCACAGTTATATATTGGATTGTTTCTTGTACTTGAAATCCATAGGTACTGGCATTTTAAGTTTTGGAGGACCTGGGAGTCGTTAATGATATATTTTAGGTAGTTTTTTGCTGAGACTGCCTGATGCTTGATGACAAGTAAAAAAATATATGTCGGGAAACATTTTTCTTGGTTTTAAGAAATAGCTCACTTCATTGGGATGCCGCCATGCATTATTATGCGAATTCTTAAAGCAGAAAATAAATTTTAAGGATGTAAAATAGATGTCTTAGTTTGCTCATCAGAATAAGATCTTAAGCCTCTTGGTGTTCTAATTTCTCAAAAAAGGTTATTATAATCTAGATTTAGCCATACAGCTCACACTCTCTCTAAGGGAAAAATTCATTCATCCCAGATACCTAAGGTATCAAAAGGATTAAGCTCTGGTGGGACTTTTTCCATGTTATCGAGCCATAGGTGACTTGATATATTGGAGTATCTCTCAAAAAGTTTCGTACACATCTGGACGTCACGAGGAGTACAGCTTTCTGTATGGCCTTATAGAGATATTCATTTAGACCAAGCTGTTTGATGTTCTCTAGGAGGTTTTTGTGAATAACACCAGTAGTAGATAGAATAATAGGTACTGTTTGGGCACTTTCCATTCTTCATTGTCGCCTGCTTTGTATTTTTAGATCTTTCTACTTGGCTATCTTTCGTTGTTTTTAACACGTAAAGTGTTGTTTGCCTAGTAATTTTATTAACTAGTATGAGATCGGGTCTATTATGTGCCACTGGTTGGTCTGTAAGTACAGTGCGGTCCCAATATAGCTTTGTAGTTGTCATTTTCAAGCATTCTGTCTGAGACGTATTGATAATAAGGAAGATGGTCGGTTTGGAGAAGTCACAGTTTGTGAGCTAGTTCTTGGTGAATAATCTTTCCTACTGAGTCATGGCGTTCTTTATAATCAGTACCGACAAACGCCTGGCAGCCACCGGTAAGATGTTGGATAGTTTCTTGGGCTTGGCATCCATATCGGCATTTGTCATTTTGGACTTAAGGATCTTTAACAATATATTTCAGGTAATTTTTAGTTGGAATAACCTGATCTTGAATGTCGAGTAGAAAACCCTCAGTCCCAGGAAACGTCTTTCCTGATATCAACCAATAGTTCGACGCTGTATTGTCGACATATTCTTGGCTGATCTCATTGAGATGTCGCCCATGCAGAGATTTACCCATCCAGGTGCGAATTTTTTCTTGCTTAGTCAGATGGTTTATGCGCATTTCTGTTCCCTCAGTTTAAGCTGCGTTGTATCATCTACTGCGCAAATTGCTCGATGTAAAGTAGATGTCGCAGCCTGTACCTGAAAATAAGTTCTTAAATTAGTAACCTGTTTATCCAGTTGCTCACCTATGTCCATAAGTCCTCTTCCCCCTTGATACCGCGGTAATGTTGTTCTCTCTACTGCACTGCGTTTATTATAATCATTATTATTTTAATATTAGTTGTAACTAATATTAAATAAGACAAATCACAAATTTAAATTTAAATTAAATTTCCTTCATCTGTCACATATAGTAATTCTAGTTAATATTTTATATACACAGTTCTAGATCTTCCGACTAATTTAAATTGTAAAATATAACATTAAGTGAAAAAATATTAATTTAAACTACATAAAAAGCCAAAAATGGTCCTAGAGACTTACATTTAATTTAAAGAAATTAATTTCAAGGTGTGGTGAAATACAGTTTTAAGCTCATCCAAAAGAAATTTAAAATATATAGTATAAATGCAAGCAAAAATTTCCACAGTTTATTAAAACACATTATGTTTTTTAGTTGTTCAGACGGATATCTGAAGATCTACCTAAAAGGACAGGAAACAACAGATTCCTATGACAAATTCGACTACGAAATGTGCGGAGAAAACAGCAAGCCTACGGTTGTTGTTTCTGATGGCCCTAGACTGGTAATGGTCTTCAGTAGTGGAGAGCTTATGGGTCGGGGTTTTAAGGCCAACTATACTTTTGAGACTGGTAACTATTTTATCTATGTATTCATAAACTTATATACGTCGTAAGTAAAATCATTTGTCACAGCTAAGTATGGTATTAAATATAATTTACACTTAAATTAACAAACCATTTCTAAAAATACCTTATAATTTTAAAAGTTTTTAATTTACTACCGTAATTTGGGGTAACTTGAGATACTTTTTAACTTAAACCTGAAGTTTATTACATACGGAGAAAAAATTAATGTTCAAAAACTATTTGAAAACATTAGTCGCGCAGGTAACTATGATATGTTTATAGAATATTTCTGTTTATTTTGTCACAAGTAGTTTTTTCAATTTTTTTATGTCTGTCTCAAGTTACACACTAGAATGGGGTAACTTGAGACAGTCGTATAAATTCAAAAAGTGACTCAAATTACGCATTGATAGGGTAACTTGGGACACCGAAAATATAATTATAAAGTGTTATGTTAAATTGAGACATTCAGAATATTTTTTTGGGTTAATAAAAAAGACAGAGAGCTCAAAACTTTTATTTAAAAACAATTAATTACAGCAATTTTAGTTCGGGTACTGAAAAAATACCTCGGTTGTTTAGGGCTTTAGGCGGTTTAATACCACCTACAATGTCCTGCCAGCAATAATACAGTTCATCCTTAGGTTTGGGCCATTTCCAGTTTTCCGTGAAGTCTTTGTCATTGCACTTATTATTGCGCCTTTACCGTCAATCTTTTCAATTACCCCAGGATAAAAATTTGAGTCATAACTAACTATGACAAAGCATCCAACTTGTTTAGTTATTGGCTGCAGAGGATGTTTATCTTGATGAGAGTAAATATTATCCTGGTCATTAGTCTCTTCAGTAATATTGTCTTCAATATTGTCAATCTGTTTTGCTTGAAATGAATCCCAGTCATCATCTGAACTATCGTCAAATACAACCTCATTGCAACTGTCTTCGTCACTTTCACTAGACATAATTACTTTACTTGTTTTTTGCCTTTTCTTACTAGATGATGGTTTTTCTTTATTTTTTTCCATTAATTGGCTTCTTTTCTTTTTTTCTAGCTTTGGTTTGTCTTCCAAAATTATTATATCCTCTTCACAGATTCCTCTACCAGCAGGAACATTCAATTTCTTTTTTTTTTGTTTTCTTAAACCATCTGTCTCTTTCTTCTACTTTCTTCTAAATATTCTTGAAATGTAGTTACCCAGGCAACGGTATTCTCACTTTCTTTGCCATCCTCTACTGCCTGTTTACTGGGAAGCCTCTTCAAGACTTCTCCTCGATTTAGTGGAATTAACCCTGCTTCTTTAAATCCACTTATTACGTTTTGTGAAAGATTTTTCTCTCCCATTGCCTCCAGACATTTTTTTAATAAACGAGGAAATGTATCTTTTGGCACAGTTCCACGATTTTTTGTTTTCCAAGAATCTAAAGTTTCACGCCACTTAATTTTAAGTGGGCGGAAAAATGCGACATCTAACGGCTGAGTAAGTCCAGTGCTATTTGGGGGAAGTAGGATGAAGATTATGTTTTTTTTTTTACATTCCTCTATTATATATGGGGATATATGGCTCGCCAAATTATCCCCAATCATTACTTTTTTCTCTTCTTTATCTTGTTTCGAGAAATAAGGCAAGGCAATTTTTCGAAACCAATCTTCGAATATCTCCAAAGTGAACCAGCCACTCTTACTTCTATTATAAACTGTCCCCTTAGGGCCATGTTCGGTCCAGGTATTATAAAGATTCTCAGCTTTGTATGTTACATATGGAGGGAGAAGTGTCCCGTCTCCGGCAGCGGCAAACATTACAGACGTACTTGACTTAGAAAAATCAATAATCCTTTCAGGATGTCGACACCCTCTTCTAACAACAACTTTTTTACGACCAGGATCGTCTGTCATATTTGTTTCATCATAATTAATGACAGAATGAGAAAGAACTCCCTCCATTGACTGATTTAACTCATCAAAGTAAATATTTATGGCGTTATGGTCGACTTTGGCTCGAGATCTCTTTATGTTTTGGCACATTTTATTACTCAAAGTGTTCTGGTGACGCTTCAAGAAAGACATGACAAAATCTCTACCTGGCATGTTGTTTTTAAATCTATGTTCATTTCTTCCAGAACGGTCGAGGAATGCTTTGACAATGAGTCTAATATCGTATAGTGTGAGAGGAAAGCCCCAATCCCCAGCTGAACATAGACACATTACTAAAGCATTTTGGTCAACTTCATTTAAAACAAATGGTCTACCAACCTTTCCTGTGTTCTTTCCATTTATTGCTCTATTTATAGAACATCGTGGTATTCCAAACTTTTCTTCGGCTTTCCTCAAAGAAATCCCGGACCTAACAGCTTCCACTGCTTTATGAAGTTGCTCCTCCGAGAAATTTCGGTATTTTCTAGATCCCAAAATTCTTTTTTGCGTTCGAACCATACCTGAGCCTGAAACAATAATGAAAAAAAGGTAAGTAGATAGGTAAGTAGGTAGGTTAGAAACTAGTTTTTATAGTATCTAATTTGTGGTGGGGTAACTTGAGACAGTTGTCTCAAGTTGACCAACCAAGGTCAGGCTGAGAATTCATATTTTATAGCAGCCATAAACTTGGCAACGCCGCAATGAAATTTACGGCACACCAATATTAATATTAGAGGTTACGTTTTCTACAACAATTGCTTGTTTTCGGATATTAGTCATAGAATTATTATATAAGTTATGTACTACATGAAATTTGGCAATTTTAAAGTTGATGTTTATTAAAAAAATTATCAACTTACCTTAGATAAGACAAAAGAATTTAATTACTAACGGTCAACAACCACACGTTAGCTACCTTTTGCTATCAAAACAACACTAACAGTGTTAACCGGGATGCCAAATCGACGAAAAATAATAGTGTCTACAAATTGTCTCAAGTAATCCAAGTAATCGTCTCAAGTTACCATAAATTACGATATATAACTATTATTACTCACATTCACAGTTTTTTGTTTGTTTCTAGAAATTTTCAGTTTTCTTTATATATGGTGATATATGGTTGAATGCTCGAATATATGAACTACTCAAATAAAAGGCAGATATCCAGCAAAATTTATTATTAAATTTTGACCAACTACTTTCGCTCTCAGAACATCTTCAGGGGGATCTAAAATGTGCCAATAAACGTTTTTTTAAGTAACGGAAGATTAATTAACTTAACGAAACTTAACTTAAATCTTTTATCATTAATTAACTTCGAAAAAAATCGAAGTTAGTTAATGATAAAAGGTTCATATAAAGTTTTAGATTTACTTCGTCAAAAATGTAGGCTATTTAGCACGTCGATATATGTATACATTAAGTAATATATTTATATAAACCTAACACTAGACAAAGAACAAACAGTTTAAAATAATTTAGAAACTACATTGTGGGTGACCGCAGAAGACAGAATGGCTGAACGGAAAGGTTAAAGCCCCTTCCAAATACAAACTGCAGTTGCTTATTCACGAAACATATTATAAATCGACAGTTGGCGATAAAACAGACAATCACAAGAATTAACGTCTACGGGATGCTTATAGGCCGACAGATATTTTAAATATCCCACTGTTACCTATGTCTCATTTTTATCTAGGCTCACATATTCAGTTATCATGATCTCAATATAAATAGAATTTTCAACAGCAATACTTATAGCTGATAAAACTTTCCGCCAAAATGACATGTCAGAATACTGTTCGAAAATACCTAGCTTACTTATAAGTAATTTAACATCTTTCAACTTCCCATTCTTTATTCTATGGTTTAAGAGATGACCATTTTTTCCTTCTCTTTAACAGTGCATAAAAATATGAAGATATTTGGGTAGCTGGACATGCAGTCCAATGTCTATTTTGGATTGAATGTACCTTCTAATCGATAGTTTACAGTCATTGGTAAACCAGTCCTCGCTGAGAAGAAATACATATCCAAACTTTTCAAATACATTGTGATAATCAGTTGGTAACAAAGCTTCTTCAGTTTTCCCCATTTCTTCATTCTTAAAGTAATGTTTTTTCTATTATTCCAAAAATTATATACAGGGTGAGTCATGAGGAACTTTACATACTTCTACCATATGTAGAGTCCCTCAGGGAGCATATCATGTGGCCACTAAAAATGTCAACTCCTCTTCTTTATTAATTAACAGGGTGATTTGTGTAATTGACCATTTATTTCATTTTACTGTAGTGTTTATACGGCTCATTTGATTTTTTTAATTTTTGCATGATACAGTACACTACTATCAAGCATTCGACTGGTATTAGCTAAACTAAAAAAATCCAGGACTGGCTTTGGAAAAATTAATTTAGGGATTCGTATTAAATATTACACCCTGTATATATTTTTTTTAAAATGCAATAAGTGATTTTCAAACTACATAAATAGCCAATGAAAACGACATATGCGACAATGTTGTCGCACTTTTATTAAATTTTTAGTGAACGATCAAATCTTACCAAAAATAGAACAACCATAATGAAGTATCAAATTATAAGGTAATTAATTTAAACAAATGTTATAAATTTCAAACATTTTAATTGAAATGATAAACTGAGTCACTGCACAACAAAAAACAGTAACTACTAACAATAACGAAGAACAATTTAAAAAAAAACTAAAAATATGTACATAGTTATGATAAACCCATAAATTAGAACTGGAAAAGATACAATAAATGGTAACAAAATAAAAATAATTCAAAATAGATTTTCGAAATGGAACCCTGCAGCCTGTACACATTTTTGTTGCCGAATTGTTAATTGACGTATTGAATTACGGATACTCTGGGGATCGTTTCTAATAGTATTACAACAATGTATAATTCTATCAATTAATTGTTGTCGGTTATTAATATTCACTGCGTAAACTAGTTGCTTCAATCGTCCCCAAATATGGTAATCAACGGGATTGAAATCAGGGGATCTTGAAGGCCACGAAATAGGACCTGCACGTCCTATCCACCTGTTGCCATAAACATTATTGAGATGTTGTCTCACTGCCAGTAAAAAGTGTGGGGGTGCCCCATCATGCTGAAAATACATCCCTCGGATAGCAACGTTCGCGTTGGCAAGCAAATTCGGCAAAATATTTTGTAGAAAGTTCAAATAGACCTGCCCTGTTAAAGGACCATCAAAACAGTGAGGACCTACTAATTGGTTATTTATGACACCAATCCACACGTTAACCGAAAACCTTAACTGAGAACGACGTTCTCGAATAGCATGGGGATTTTCTTCTGCCCACACATGTGAATTTCGTGAATTATTTATCCCGTCTCTGGTAAATTGGGCTTCATCTGTAAATAGTGTCCTGTATAGCGTTGGTCGATTATTGTTAATCCATCTACAAAATTCCAACCTATCGATCTCATCTCCAGCATGTAGTCGCTGAACCATTTGAATGTGATATGGGTATAGATTATTTTTTTGTAAGACTCTACTTACTTTTGATTGAGTAACATTGAGTTCTCGACTTACTTGTCTAGTGCTTATTGTAGGGTTCATAGTAACGGCGTCCATAATGTCATCTTCCTGCGCTTCATCTACATGTCGCTCTGTTGTTCCACTAGGAAAAGTGCCATTTTCTCGCAAATAATTAAAAACTGACCCAAATGTTGGATGACTGGGAGTTCGACGATTAGGAAATCTCCTGCGATATTCTCTACTAGCAGCCCTACCATTCCCATTACAGAATCCATAAACAAATATTATGTCTGCATATTCTGTGGTCGAAAACTGATGTGGCATTTTGAACGAAAGTAACAAAAGCTCTACCAAAACTAACACAATGTACTTAACGTAGATATGACAGAAGAAATATGTATTCTTGTACACATAAATAACAATTGATAATGACAATAATGACAATGGGTATAAAATATCAAGAAACGTCAAACGGTCAACGCCAACCTTCATTTTAAACTTTTTTAGATTTATTTTTATTTAGTACAGTTGATGCAATGTATTATTATTTGACATAAAATTTTAATCATTTACAATCAACAAAAACTAACACATACAAGAGGTTTGACTTTTTAATCAATTTAATTTATTATTTATCGAAAATAATGCCCCAATACGATCTATGAGTAAAAATTTAAAATTGAAAAACAATTGATTCTATCGTAGAGATAATACAAAGTGACAGTAAAGATGTTAATTTTCTACGTATTAGATTATGTTGTAGAACTCATTTTAATTAAAATGTTTAAAATTTATAACATTTGTTTAAATTAATATCTTATAATTTGATACTTCATTATGGTTGTTCTATTTTTGGTAAGATTTGATCGTTCACTAAAAATTTAATAAAAGTGCGACAACATTGTCGCATATGTCGTTTTCATTGGCTATTTATGTAGTTTGAAAATCACTTATTGCATTTAAAAAAATATATATACAGGGTGTAATATTTAATACGAATCCCTAAATTAATTTTTCCAAAGCCAGTCCTGGAATTTTTTAGTTTAGCTAATACCAGTCGAATGCTTGATAGTAGTGTACTGTATCATGCAAAATTAAAAAAATCAAATGAGCCGTATAAACACTACAGTAAAATGAAATAAATGGTCAATTACACAAATCACCCGTTAATTAATAAAGAAGAGGAGTTGACATTTTTTAGTGGCCACATGATATGCTCCCTGACTCTACATATGGTAGAAGTATGTAAAGTTTCTCATGACTCACCCTGTATACTGGCAAATAACTTGTTCGTAATCTTTTTCTCGTGGTACGACCCGTGTGAGGCCACTTCGTTAAAATGAGTCATAATCGTTATTCACAAAGTAAACAAGAAAAACAATGCACGTTTGCAACACAGATGCTTGCATCTTACTGTATGCATCACGCATCACTTATCAAATAGAAGCAAACGAGTAAACATCCATGATGAGTCACGTGATTTTTATGCACTCAGAGAATGGCCAGGTGGATTTAAGACGCCTTGAAAATAAAACCAGTAAGGACATAAGACTTTCTAAAATAAATACAGTTTTTAAATGCCCTTTTAAATGGTTAATATGCCGTTTTGGTGCATAAAACTCTATTAAAAGTCTAAAGAAGGTCTTTAATAAAATGAAAACATCGAAAAATTTAAATGTTCGTACATATTTGGTTTGGCTAAATATATGAATTTTCTTGTAGTTCAAATATATGCAACAAGAATATTGGATCGTCATCGTCAAAGAAGTTACTTCAATCGAAGAAAAAACTAAGGATCCACATACTGACAGAGGCCTTGGACTCCTGAAAGCTTCGAAAGTCACGTTACATGCATGACTTCTGCATAATCAGAACATTTAAAAACAAATAAAGAAAAGACGATAAAAGGTCTCTATGCTAATCGTAATGTTATGAAACAATTAACTGAACACAAACTTCCGCCAGTTGCAATTGGCGGAATAACCATAACTATTCTCTGCTTTAATAGAAACAAAGGAGATTCGCGAAATGTTTTGCGTATCATACAAGATAAAAAGTTTACGGTTTACGATAAAAAACAGTTTATATGGACTAGGGTCGATACACGGAACAATAAATATACTTTTTTCGAGGAACCATATAAAAGAATGTAAAGACAATTTTCTTAATTCCGAAGATTTGCCGGACATTCAGAAATCAATTCCAAATTTGAAGAACCAGGTTGTATAAAATGCTACTGCAATAAAATATTCTTTGTCATAAATCTTTGCATAACTCTCTCTGAATAAATTTTATCTCTTACTTTATTTTACAGAATATAGAATTCCGGGTACAGCGGCGCCGGATGGTTCCTGTTCTTTCACGTATTTAAGCACAAGTAAGAAGAAGGGAGAATTTAATTCACCGAGGTATCCTTCGAATTATCCAAGCGATACAAATTGCACCTATCTCTTTCTCGCCACAAATAACGAGCAAGTCACGTTAGTCTTCGACAATTTTAAAGTACGTGCCGACAGTGTTAATGCAACTATTGGTTCCTATGGGTGAGTATTTTAGTATATAAGGAATAAATGTATGTTTGTAAATAAATAAGCGTTTGCAGACCGTGTGATGCTATTACTTATCCATCATCCGACTAGTTTTACACGCGAACTCTAATTTAAAAAATAATACTTAGGTATTTCATATATTATAAGATAATATATAAGATATTATCTTTAATTAGCATTTTGACTCTGTTACGTATCCCGAGGAGCATGTAGGTAATTTTTCAACTGTGCAAAGTTGGTCAAAACTGTCAAAACCCCCAAACACTGTAATGACTATAGATTAATCAGCTTAATGTCATACTTATTGTTTAGTGATTAAACTTGAGAAGTCGCTGGTTTAAATTGTATTGAATGAATAATTATAACGAAAAAATGTGATATTGTTGATACATAAAATTGGTGAAAATAGCAATTATAAATTGTAAAAGTAGAAATAAATTAGAAATAAACTGGTTTACTCATTATCAATGTTTTATACAGGAATAGACTTACCCTTTGGTTCTATTGATGAATTCGTACCAAGCTGTAGAGTTGGCCGGTGGTACCGACGTTAGCGTCGCCGTCCCGAGGCTTAGCACGAAAAACCGTCTGGAACTTGATGCGTGTCGATCGATCGTTGTCTGACAAAGAAGTGGCAATTGAGAATGCGTTAATATGGTCAGAGTTAAGGACCCTCGAAGCGGTGTGGTCCGGAAGGGTCTACCCATAAATCTTTCCATTGTATTGCGACCTTTCCGATAATTTTAGCTAATTGTGACGGTAACACCACACTTGTGTGTATATTTTTGAACCATACAAAAGAGAAGCCAAATTCTCCGTATTCACAACATCATAAATAAGATATCCAGTTTAAGTTTTATGAGACAACAGGAATAATATATTTTAAAAGTTCTTTAGAATACAACCCTAAGTTAGATCATATTACAGAACCGTACCAGAAAAAATATTAAATGTAAAAATGCATACTTTCCCTAACATTCTCCCGCTCCAAAAACGAATGTTTTTAAGAACAGCTAAAAGTATAAGTATAAAGAATAGACATGAGAAGCTAGATATACTAAATAAGAACTAAGTAAGAATAAAATATAAACTAACAAATAAGCGGCGGTCATATTTTGACCACAGAACATTGTTGGATGCCATCTGAAACTGTACTCAGATTAACAACGCGTACAATGTCATCAATTAGAAAAGAATAGCGTCGAATTGGTAGAATTTTTCGATCGGCTAAACTAAAAAGATTGTGTCAAACACACTAGCGTTGGCCCCTTTACCTATAAAAATTCCGTGGAGTGCACCTAAAAACAAGAAGAAGAACATCGTCGAAATCTCGGCGTGGTGTCGCATTTCAAGTCTGCAATGACAGCCGAGAAGTAATGATATTTCAACGAGATCCACGATAGGAAAATGCCGGTTTGGTGAAAAATGTAATAATTGTGCCGGTGATAAAACACGACTGACACAATCAGAGAGGTGTTGATTAGAAGGCATATAATGCCGAGTAGAGTGTGGTATCAGTTCTTGTATGTGTTTAATACGATTGACAATTTATGGGTAGAAAAATTAGCTCAAGAGAGCGCAAGCGTAGAGTCAGATCAAATATCGGAGGATCGGAAGGAAAACCCTATGACAAAGGTGACTTGATCAGCCAGCACTATGGCTGCCAAGAGTTCCAATCTTGTCGAGACAGAGCGAGCATGAAAATTGGACTAGACTCGTTGACAAATGTGACTAGATCAGTCAGCCGTATAGCTGCCAAGAGTTCCGATCCTGCGATAGATGTTCGTGTATAGAACTAACATCAAAAATGTAACACATACAAAATACAGAGGTCAGATGTATCTGTTCAGATGTTCCATCATCCCAGACTACATCAAAGTACCACAACGGTTGTAGAAGACGTTTGACTAGCAAAAAGACATGGAAAAGGAATAAAAACAAGAGGATAGCGACAAAAATACGACTGATTTACGAACGAATAGCCCGCTTTGTACAGGGTTTGTCAAAGGGACGAGAAGCATGAGAAAAGAAGACAGTCGTAGGATTCCATTTTAGGCCTAGTACCGTAAAAATGAAAAGTTCCTCTGTGTTAACGAACAACATGTCAAAATGTCTAAGCCAAAGACTTACAAATAAATAAAAATCATTGCTGACACAATGTTGCTTTGTCTAGCGAAAAATAAATATGGTTGCTGACACAATGTTGCTTTGTCTAGCGAGAAATAAAGATGGTCGCTGACGATGTTGCTTTGTCTAGCGAAAAATAAATATGGTCGCTGACGTAATGTTGCTTTGTCTAGCGAAAAATAAAGCGAGCTTTAGAAGCTAAGCGATTACTCACTGCAGAAGGTGAGTAGATCAAAGAAAATCACTCGAAGCATGATTATGACGTAGGTCCGTCGAGATGACTGCTGGCCCACTGCCTAGCGAAAACCATTGAGCAATAAAACTAAGCGTTACTCTTGTAGAGTTTGTAAGCGAAACAAAACGCGAGGCCGTGATTCGCAAACCGTGTTCGTCGTTCCGAATTAGGTGGGAATTAGGCTGCGTACACAAAGCGTTACTCTTGTTGAGTCTTTAAGCGAAATAAAACAAAGAAGTACCGTAAGTAACGATACGTAATAACAACTTGGAGAGGTTTAAAAGTCCGATCTCCAGAGGACCCCCTTGTATAGTTCCAAAATTCCTTATTTGCTTTAATTTGTCGATACGTTTGCCTTATATCGCAAATAAAACAACAACGAAGATATCGAAAATTAAGTAAAGAACCAGATGCCCTTTTAGGATCAGTATCAAATGTGTCGATTAGCGTCGAAGCTAGTACGAATTTTGGATAAAAGAAGCGAAATAAAAATCTGTTTTTTGAAAACTGTGTGAGAGTTATAAGAAATAGTCGATTTAAAATCGGATTCAGGAACCGGCATCATATGTTGAGAAGCAATAAAATCCTCCACGAATGCAACATATGTTTCTTTGAGATTCGAGAATTTCCTGAAGCGATTCTTTAGCATATAAAACGAAGATAAGCATAAGAATAACGAATAAGTAGCGAATATAAACAAGAGAAAAGATAAATAAAGAGCATTGTGTTGTAAAAACGGTGGAATAACAGAAAATAGGCTTGTTAACTTTCAGAAAATCCACAACTTAGAGATATCCTTCACGAGCTGGGTCGTGTTGGGACAAAACTAACAGGTGCCTACTAAGAAAATCAACCACTTAGAAATATCCTTCACGAGCTGGGTCGTGTTGGGACAAAACTAACCGGTGCCTACTGAGAAAATCCACAACTTAGAAATATCCTTCACGAGCTTGGTCGTTTTGGGATAAAACTAACAGGTGCGTAAAAACGGTATAATAACAGAAAATAGGCTTTTTAACTTTCAGAAAATCCACAACTTAGAAATATCCTTCACGAGCTGGGTGGTGTTGGGACAAAACTAACAGGTGCCTACTAAGAAAATCAACCATTTAGAAATATCCTTCACGAGCTGGGTCGTGTTGGGACAAAACTAAACGGTGCCTACTGAGAAAATCCACAACTTAGAAATATCCTTCACGAGCTTGGTCGTGTTGGGATAAAACTAACAGGTGCGTAAAAACGGTGGAATAACAGAAAATAGGCTTTTTAACTTTCAGAAAATCCACAACTTAGAAATATCCTTCACGAGCTGGGTCGTGTTGGGACAAAACTAACAGGTGCCTACTAAGAAAATCAACCATTTAGAAATATCCTTCACGAGCTGGGTCGTGTTGGGACAAAACTAAACGGTGCCTACTGAGAAAATCAACAACTTAGAAATATCCTTCACGAGCTGGGTCGTGTTGGGACAAAACTAACAGGTGATTACTGTTTTCTGCTTCCCAAAACCTTTGTCGTACATATCTATGTTTGTATACATAGAAGTAGCGAAAGATATGAATAAAATATAGAATGAGTCTTAGAGACTCGCCCTTATGGAACATAATTGAAAATGATTTCTAAGGCCACAGTATGATTTGGTTCGCCAAGAATTCTGACCAGAATGTACGAAATGAAGAACCAATTCAACCCCTAAGGGTATGTCTATAAGGTCCGATTACAAAATGCGTGATTTGGTAGATCACTGATATAAAATTGGCTGTAAAGCCTGTATCGTGCAAGATACGAATTATAAGAAAGATGCGAAAATATATTTAATATGTATCAACTATATGGAAAGAAATAGACGAGGATAGTAAATGTGGTTGTGTAGCAAAATAGAAATGTTGGTATTTGAAGAAGTGATTGTCTAAAGGAACAAGATAAATTTGAGGGTTGGTTAACAAAAGAAGCAAAACGCGAGGCCGTGATTCGCAAAACCGTGTTCGTTGTTTCGAATGAGGCGGAATCAGGCTGCATGCACAAGAATTATGGAGTTAACCAACGAGAAAAGTTCTTGAAGCCGTTTAGTCCCAAAAATTACGAACATTTATACCAATGATGAGAAACAGAACACAAAGCACATTTAACAGCTTGATTAGTTACCTTAGGGTGCTCTGTAGCACTAATGAAACCACAGGTAACGTATATTTTATTGAAATATTGAAATAAGACAGCGATAATCGAAAGCGAGTAGAAGAAGACAACAAATTAAATCGAAACAAAGTTGTAAGATTTATGAAAATCTACCCTGGCTACGAATAATAAAGAAGGTGTGTGGTTTTGATAATTGAATGCATTTTATAGGCCTCCTTGAATCTAGAAAATGCCGAGTATGACGCGAAAAGTTGGATTTGTTCATTTTGTTGAGCATTGTATGATACGAGCACAAAAGAGAAGACAATGCAAGACTAAATTAACAAATCAACACAAAGAGAATATCTAGATTTAAAGAAGCGAACGGTTTTAAACAAAATCAATTGCAAACAAGTGAGAATATCGATCAAAAGGTAAGTAACGAAGACAAATCGAAAGCGGATCGAATGTGTGGAAAGTATGATACAAGTAAAATAATAAATAATTCACAAAAATTAGCATAAAAACAATGTAAAAAATGTAAAACAAATCGTAAACGTAATATATATGTGTATAATTAATGTATGAATTAATCAAAATATATATAAAAGTATTTTACGTACTGAAATTATGAATTATAAAAATAGAAATAAATTTAAAAATTGCTACGTAATATGATCTAATTTAATTATGTAAATTTAATTTAAAAATATAGCGCGAAGGACTGTATCAGATTTAAAATAAAATGCAACAAAAACAAATAATTAATTAAAATGAATTAATTAAAATACAATGAAATTAATTAAATTAATTAATTAAATCAAAGTTGAGAATCCGTCTCGAAGTGATCAAATGTTTAGTGATTAAACTTGAGAAGTCGCTGGTTTAAATTGTATTGAATGAATAATTATAACGAAAAAATGTGATATTGTTGATACATAAAATTGGTGAAAATAGCAATTATAAATTGTAAAAGTAGAAATAAATTAGAAATAAACTGGTTTACTCATTATCAATGTTTTATACAAGAATAGACTTACCCTTTGGTTCTATTGATGAATTCGTACCAAGCTGTAGAGTTGGCCGGTGGTACCGACGTTAGCGTCGCCGTCCCGAGGCTTAGCACGAAAACCGTCTGGAACTTGATGCGTGTCGATCGATCGTTGCCTGACAAAGAAGTGGCAATTGAGAATGCGATAATATGGTCAGAGTTAAGGACCCTCGAAGCGGTGTGGTCCGGAAGGGTCTACCCATAAATCTTTCCATTGTATTGCGACCTTTCCGATAATTTTAGCTAATTGTGACGGTAACACGACACTTGTGTGTGTATTTTTGAACCATACAAAAGGGAAGCCAAATTCTCCGTAGTCACAACATCATAAATGAGATATCCAGTTTAAGTTTTATGAGACAACAGGAATAATATATTTTAAAAGTTCTTTAGAATACAACCCTAAGTTAGATCATATTACAGAACCGTACCAGAAAAAATATTAAATGTAAAAATGCATACTTTCCCTAACACTTAATTAAAAACATTTTTAAAGATTATACATGCATGAATATTCAGAAAGTGCGAATCGGATATGAGTAAAAGACAGTTTGGCTTTCGTAGCAGCTTCAAAACAGTGGAAGCTCTGTATAGTTTCACAACTCTTGCCCAAAAATGCCAAGACCAACAAAAAGATCTTTTCGCGTTGCGTTTATAGACTATAAGAAAGCTTTCGACAAAGTTAAACATAACATTCTTATGGAATGTCTAAAAAGAAAAGGGCTCGGCAAAAATGACATTAACATAGTGAAAAATCTCTATTGGAACCAACAGGCCGTGATAACATTAGATGGAAATAGCACGGATGCCCAACAAATAAACAAAGGAGTAAGACAGGGCTGTGTACTTTTACCATTACTGATTAATATATATTCCAAAGAGTTATTTACGCAAGCACTTGAAAACTGTACAGAAGAGATCAAGATAAATGGTGAAAATATAAATACATCCGTTATGCTGACGATACAGTCATTATCGCTGAAAGTAAGAAAGGCCTGCAGACGTTACTAAACACAATTTGTGATACTGGGGAATAGTTTGGTTTAACAATAAACATAAAGAAAACAAAAACCATGGTTATCAGTAAGAGGGGCAAAGTCATTACAAGGATCCAGATAAAAAATAAAGATATTGAGCAAGTCGACAAAATAAAATACTTAGGAGTCTGAATTACGAAAGATCTAAATCCGAAATCAGCAATTGGCTCAAGAACAAAGCAATCAAAAGCAGCCTTTTTAAAGGTGATAAAATTTTTAAGTAACCAAAGACTCAATTTGCAAATCCGAGATCGGATGGTAAAATATTATATTCACTCTATTTTTCTTTATAGTGTCGAAGCCGGGAATGTTAATGAGAAAACTGGAAGCTTTTGAGATGTGGCTTTTTAGGAGAATATTAAAGATACCAAGGACCGGTTATATTACGAACGAAATGGTGTTGCACAGAATTGTGTGGGAAGAGACAGAGAACTTTTGACCATTATTAAAAGGCGAAAGAGAGCATATTTGGGGAGCATACGTAGAAATGATAAGTACGAGTAATTGCAGCTGATTATGAAGGATGAAATCAAAGGAAAAAGGGGTCCTGATAGACGACAAATATACTGGCTGAAAAACATTCGCGACAGGATTGGGTTAACAACACAGACGCTTTTAAAAAAGCAGAAAATAGAAGAATTTGGAATGGTTATAGCAGACCTTCATTAGTGAAAGAAGAAAAATTAGTACTGGCATAGTATTATAACTTTCGCCACCCACCCACGTAAACGTAAACGTAACACATTTCAAAATACTAATAATATATTATGGCAATACCAAAAGCTTTTAAATACAAAATTTATGACACATATTTTCTGCTGATCTACAGGGTCCTGCAAGGGGTTTGATGAATGGTTATGCATGTTTTCTTTATATTTATTTAACACTAAATTAAATAAAACGATGTTTGACTATTAGGATATATTATCTAACTTATATTTTAATAATTAAATGTAATATCATGAATATTAAGAAAAATCCCGTTTGCAATACTCCACAAGACAGAACTGTTAAACATAGAGACATAACATTTTAGAATAACGAACATAAACGTAAAAAAGCATAAAAAATGAGAACGGCTAATGCACATTGTAGGAAAGTAAGTTTCGAAGAATAAACTATCAGCAGCTCGCATATCTTTTACGATTTGCATACTAGATGAAGATAATCACCAGTTTACAACTTTTTAAGTAATATTATTATTTAGTTCTGCATCCCTAGGGCATATAGTAACAATTAATATAATAACACAATTTCAGTTAATAATACATTTATTTTGATGTTCAGAGTTTTACTTGGGAACCTATATTATATTAGAAAGATGGGCAGAAAACTTCGAGGAAAAACTAAATATAAGAGGTGAGACAGAGCTATACGAATCACAAATCCAACTCGAGGACATTGACGAAAGAGAAAAAGATAACATCCCAACATGGCTTGAAGTCATCCAAGCTATACATAAATCGAAAGAAAAGAAAGCTCCTGTGGCAGATGACATGCCTTCAGAACTTTTAAAGCATGGCAAAAAAACCTGACATACTGTATATGTAGACTGGTAAAACTGATCTGGAAGCAAATAAAGAAAACTGAAATGTAGGTATAATTGTACCTATCTACAAGAAAGGAGATCAAACAAAATATAACAACTACAGAGGAATAACCCTCCTAAACGTAACATACAGAATATTGGCATATATTCTTTACTACCGACTATCGGGATATTGTAAAGACATAATCGGTAAATGTCAGTGCGGGTTTCGTAAAGAAAGATCAACGACCGATCAAATATTCCTTCTAAGACAAGCTCTGGAAAAACCATGAGTATGGCATTGATACACATTACCTGCTTGTTGATTTTAGATATGCCTATGATAGTTTTGAAAAAATCCCACTGTACAAGGCCATGATAGAATGCAGCATCCCAGTACACTTAGCAAAATTGGTGAAAGCGACCATCTCAAGAGTCGAGTGTAAAATTAAAGTGCAGAATGGAGTTTCCAAAACGTTCCACTCTCAGATAGGACTTAGAGAAGGAGACAGCCTATCATGCCTTCTATTACGAGAATACGCCGATGACATCGACATTATTGCAAGAAGAAAGGCAGACGTGGTCGAATCATTTAAGGCGCTTGAAGCAACAACAAAAAGAATGGGACTAAAGGTTAACACTAGTAAGACGAAGTATATAAAAGTATCAAATTATATACAAGCAGCACAGCCCGAAGATCTAACGATCGGAATATATAGTTTCTAAGGAGTAAGAGAGTTTATATACATAGCCTCACAAAAAATAATTAGAATAATGCAGTAAGTCCAGAAATTAACAGACGGATATATCTGGAAAATAGAGCATGTTATGGATTAAGAAAATTTTTAACAACAAGCCTAGTTACAAAAAGAACGAAACTAGTAATATACAGAACTCTTTTTAAGCTTATCCTCACCTGCGCATCGGAAACATGGATTATGAAAAAAAGCAATGAATAACCTTTAAGATGCTTTGAACGTAAAATTCTTCGGAGGAGTACAGAAGGGCGGATGTTTCAAACCTGATATTATTAAGTTCATCACGAATACATCCAACTCTGATTTATGAGCAACATAAAGGATTTTATTTATAAAATACCTTGTAAATGTGAAAATTTTGATTTAGGTACAATAGTAAAAGATATTTTTATTAGAGATAGTAAATAACTATTACCGATAGTATTATTCTATAGAACATGTTGTAGGGTTCACTCCTTGGAAAGACCAAAACATTTCTTGGAAGCTTCCCATTCGGAAATATTAAAAATGCGCGCATCGTTGGTTCTATTTAATTAGGTATTACTGTACTTTCTAACAAATGTTTATTATAATGGTTAAAAAGTATAAAGCATTATTTCTAATTTATTAACTTATATACATTCTTTTGTTTTTCAGAACTACACTTTGCCAAGAGGACTGGATAGAAATTTTTAACGTGTATCGTGATGGAACGGAAACGAAAATTGGCAGGTACTGTCAAATGTCAGCGCCTGGTCCTATAGAATCTCCTAGAGGTGCCACAGGATTAAAACTGGTTCTTCATTCGGATTCCGAAGGCGTATATAGTGGTTTCAAAGCGAGGTATGTAATTAAGTTATCTCTAATGTTCGCTGCACGTCGATAATGCAATTACTACTTGGAAATACCAAAATTATTTTAATTATGTTTTTCTACTCTCTTACTAGTAAATTGTATATTACCTACTATTTGGATGCTAAGTAAATGCATCATAACAGATACTGACACGTAATGACTAGCACGTAATAAAAAAAATTACGCTTCAGTTTTATAAAAATGTGTAATATCACATAAGCCTCGTAAGTCAGTTGGTCGAGTTACCATGGAAACGAATTAACAGACGTTATTTTGACAGATTAAAAATGTATAATCTGTCAGTGTAATTATAGTGGTAATTTAATTTTTATTTTTATAAACGAAAATAATGGTAGAAAAAGTATAGTACACAACTTGAGTTGTAAGCTTATTACATGCTTGTAAAATTACTGCGCTCGCCGCTACGCGGCTCGCGCGCAACTTTTTTACTCGCATGTAATAAGCTTCTTACAACTCTTAATTTTCTGAAAAGCTACTCTTGGCCTATTTTGGAGAAATCGCTAAGAAATTTAAACCATCCTCATTATGGGCAATATATTCTAGGCTAAGAAGTGTTATAACTTTGAAAAATAATGTTAATTTTTGACCTTTAAAATTACAGACCTTTACATAGACTGAAAATACCAATAATCAAAAAGAAAATAGGAGGTAATCTCACTATTTACCACGTATTATTGAACAAACCGTCAAACTCGGATAAGGGTATAGTTATAAATAATTGCCAAAATTTTACAATTAATTATTATACATAAATGTTAAATTTAAATTGTTCCCGAATTTTGTTAAATAAATAAAAGTTGTTATACTTGTTATACTTTTTATTTTTATAAATGAAAATATTCGTAGAAAAGTATAGTACACAACTTGAGTTTTGTACTAAACATGCTTGTAAAATTACTGCGTTCGCCGCTACGCGGCTCGCGCGCAACTTTTTTACTCGCATGCAATAAGCTTCTTTCAACTCTCGTTATGTAATATACTATTACTTGAAACAATATTTACATTAAACATCATTGATAAAACAAAATATTCCTTTGACTTTAATTTATTTAGTATGAACAATTAAAAATTGTCGGTGCTGTTTTCACAGTTGCCACATTGTCAAAAAGTTTTGTATAATATAAACAAACTTAAAATAGGTACTGTGATTGAGCAATTATTTATTATATTTCTCTAACAACTCAATAGTAATTGTAAGGAATTTGCATATCAAGTACGTAAATTTTGAAAAATTAGAAATAATAGGTCACTGATAAGGTCCCTCATACAAGTAACTGCTGTAGGTGATATAAGTATTAATGGAGGGATGTTAAGAAACATGAAATAGGTTGAAAAAATAAAGTTTAATAAGATTTATCTTAATTTGATTACAAATTCTTGGAGTTTGAATTGAAGAATTCACCTTAAACAAAATCCAAGTTGAAAAAGAGTGAGGCAAAGTTTGTCGAACACTTTCTTAAATATATTCTTAAATGTAACGGTAAAATGAGAATCATGGCGTGAGGTATAAAAAAAAATATTATAGTCTGAAATACAAGTACTGCAAATAACCAGGCGATATAGTACATATAACTATAAGCATACATAAGAAAGTTTGGAGAACTCCTTAAAACATCAAGGACGGAGTTTTAAAATGTTTTAAATTAGAATAATTTTAAACAAATTTATTAAAAAATTATTAATTAGGCTTGAAACAACAGACATAATTATGTTTTTTATTTATATTTCCCAAAACACTATGTTACCAGATAGCAACGCTAGTCTCCTATAGGATCAAAAAATAAGCAGATGCTAGAAAACACGAATTGATTTTAATTAGTTGTAATAGTAAATATTAAATTAAAATCGTGTGTAAAAATTAACGTTGCAACTATAGTCCAACCTTGTATTTACTACACATTGTGCACATGATGGATTTGCAATTTTTGCTACACATCTCTTTTTTCCATCAGGGGTGTTTGTTAATAAATGTCTCATATTGTCAAAATGCACGTCATCAGAAACTCTGCTAAACGATCTACTGGAGATACTTAAATTTAAACAACCTCCTTGCTTGCCGGCTTTTTTACCCTTCACAAATATATTTTCACAATACCTCGCTTCAATTGATGCTGCGTCATAGTATCACCTGATTTTCTTTTTAAAATTTCAACTGTTTTGCACTTAACAGTAAATTAGTCAAGTAAACAAACACTGCTACATTTTTTTACAGACTTCTATACGATATCTGGATCTGTTTCCGTCCCTAAGATTAGTGAATTCCTATGCGGAATTATATTTCGCAATAACTGGGAATAGCGTTTTACTTTATTTACATTTAAAACCCATATGAGGTTAATGCGATGGTCACCATGCTGTTATCTGCCCATCTTAGTAATATCAGCCCGTTTTCCTGTTTAACTCCTAAATCAAACTCACCTCCTCTCTTTTCACCTTGGCTTTTGACATCAAAGGGCAATTTTTTGTAAGACGATTATCTCTAATGGTACCTGTAGCAGCATACCGCATTTATTTTGGATGCTAAAGTAAACTGAAACTTGTAAAGAGATTATCACAGTACAGGAAGTAGTGCAATTTTTTTTCTCCTCCGGCAAATTTTGTAGCATGAAAATTAGAGGAGAACCTACTTTACCACACACTGGTTAGCATTAGTTCTTTGGTATAGGATAATATTTACTAAATAGCCAGATTTTGTATTTAAACTCCAGACATTAAGTATATCTAAACTGTATAAGTTTAGCCCCAATAAACTGTTTGCACGAATGCTTGCCTTAATTCTTTATCATGGATTGATCGGCACAGTTCTTCTTAAGGAATATAATATTGCATAAATATGTTCTGCAACTTCTTAATAAGGGGTCGTAGTTTGACAAATTTGTTACGAGGATTAAATTTGTTAAATTATCATTATCCGCACAGTGCAAGTACCGGAAAATAGTAAAAAATCTGTCTATCCACGTGGCTTCTTTAACCAACATTTTACCCATATCTCTACTAGAGTCTAAATAAACTTTTTTACCAGGAAAAGTGTAGAATGGCAAAAAAAAATCGTATTTCTTCAATGCTTATGTTAAGGTCAAAAATATTTTTCTGATTTGTGTACCTTTAAATTTTCATTATCAAAAATTGTATTAAGTTATCGTTGAAAAATAGCTCTAACACTTCCGTAGGGAGGTAGTGGAAAACATTGTTCCCTGCTTTATTATCGCCATGAGTCCAAATACCCTTTTTCAACTTTTAAATATTATTCATCGCCAACACTTTCAGAATCTATCTCCTTAAACGGACCATCTTTGCTCCCCATTGGCTCTTCTTCTTTGTCATTCTTGCTAGAAAGAACAACCTTGACCTGTGTCCAAATTAAATTTTTTTTGACAAGTTATCAACAAGATCACCGCCGTCTTCCTCGCCGGAGTCCCCATTTTTCAGTTCACTTTTTGGAGGCTCAATGTAGATTTCGTCCACTTCTGTGATCATCTTACGCAATGTGTAATGCCTCTTCAAGTGTTAAGCCCCTTCTAGAAAAAAAAAAAACAGTATTTAATATGATGTAACATGATACTTGTATTTAGGATATGACAAATAAAAACTAAAAGAATTGGTCTCAAAATATTTAGTATTTTAAACACGTTATTTTTACTTAACTAGTAGCGCCATTTCTGTTTTTGGTCTCAAATTTTCGCGTAAGAATTATTATTTTAAACAGTGTTTTGCGTTGTTATATGGCAACGCCAGTCTTTAATATCTTAATAAAACTCCTAATCAAAGTGGAAAAAAGGGTTTAAAAATAACCAAAGTAAACCAAAATACCAAATATATTCGAGAATACTACTAGAGAACAATGTACAATGCAGTAAAGAATTCAAAAATAGAAAGCTACATATTTGGAAAATAATAAAAATTAACTACGACATAGGAAACATTATAAAGTCATTAAGCACAAAAACAGACCATCAAATGGAAAATTTCTAATTCTGTGATAAAGTTATTATATAGAAGCCAGAATCAGAATGATTGAGAAGATCAGCGAAATATAATTAGGTTATTAAAGTCATCCAAATACTAAAGGATATAAACTAGAAAGAACTATACAGGGTGGTGAATCGTCAAACGGGCCATAGGAAACTCAATGGGAAATTCTAAATTGTTGAATTCCTGCTTCCCTAATTATTTTACACCAAAAGTCATGGGAAACTATTTGTAGAGGACTCAAATATGTATCGAAAACCATTGTTCAAATTGTTCTACGACTTAAACGTATTCCAAAATTTTGCTAAATATAATACATTTTTCAGGCCACCCCTAAAAGTCAGGCCAGACGTCGTGAAAAAAATGTGTATTACGTGTTGCGTTTTGTCATATTGACGTTTCTAATATTTGACAATATTTAAATCAACTATATTATATTTATCTATGATTTAAATGGCCAACATTTTTATTTTGTGATTTATTGTTTAAAAAAATATTAAGTTGATTAAAAAATGTACTCAGTTAAGGAGAAAAGAGCAATAATAAAAATGTTTTATTCATGTTTTATTATAACATTTGTTATAGTTTTATGTTTAGAAATTATCATAAATTATTTTTAGGAATAAAGATCACAGTAACAGTATATTGGAATTCATTGAATTGTTGTATAACTTAACTTAACATGGAATTAAATTTTAGTGTATTAGAATATCTTACGTTAAATAAAGATCCGGTAGTGACAGGAAAAGGTTCGCGCTATTGCCTGAATACAACATTATGCGATTTTTCGTCAACTGAGTACATTTCATTATATTGATCGATTTGTAAACAATATAATTTATTGTTTACAAAGTAATATTGTTCAGTAGTAGTAGTATTTAGTAAAATTCATTGTTTATAATTTAATCATAAAACAAAAAAATTGACAATTCAAATTGTCAAACATCTGACATGAATATGATAAAACACACACGTTATATATTCTTGTATTACGTGTGGCCTAACTTTTAGGGGTGGTCTGAAAAATATATTATATTTTTGCAAAATTTTGAAGTACATTTGATTCGTAGAACGGTTTTAACATTTGTTTTTAATTCAGATTTTAGTCCTCTACAAATAGTTTTTTATGAATTTTGATCTAAAATAATTAGGGAAGCAGCAATTCAACAATTTAAAATTTTCCATTGAGTTTCCTATGGCCCATTTGACGATTCACCACCCAGTATTAAATAGAAAAATAAGATTATCTAGTTTTTCTAAAAAAAAATTAATATAAAATTTTTTATTTTTACTTGAGGATTAAATCATTGTAGCTAATAAATTCAATTTTGTAGGTATAGCTTTGAAACTGCAAAATCAATTTTCGGAGACTGTGGTGGGAACGTCAGCAGTGTGGACTCGGGTGTGATCAGCAGTCCGAATTTTCCAAAAGACTACGAGGCTCCGTCGAAGAATCAAGCTTCCAAAAGCTGTAATTGGTATATCACTGTAAGACCCAAATACAAGGTTTTGTTGGTGTTCGAGAAGTTTGCTATTGAAGGGGATCCTTTAAGTAAGTATAGCATTTATTAAAATATTATAATCATATATAATAATCACATTATTCACAAATCACCTAACATTTCATATATTCAGCACGTAAAACAAATATTTTAGTATACAAAATTTGAAGACATTTTTAAAACAAAACAAAAAAATAATACCAATCAAGTAAGATCAATGGATCAACACTGATGTGAATGATAACATCAAACAAATATCTAGTTTGAGTTCTTCATTTGACCTCTTTTCCATTACATTAATATTTTAGTTGTGATCCTTTATTTTTTTTATTAGCTTTCTTTTTTTTTATTTTTAATTGATCTATCGATTTTATGATATTTTTAAAGTTTCTCAATGCATAATTTTTTTACTCTTCTAAATGCATCGTCTATGGTGCATTTGGGTGTACTTTTGGATCAATATATACCTCGTTTTTTTTTCGTCATCGCTTTATTTTTTGCGTGTTTTTGAACTTTGCCGTTACCTTTAGTGCTACCAAATTTGGAGTTAATTTAAACATAATAACTTTATTGTTAAGTGTTTTATTGATCTTTTATTACTTGTTTTTCAGTAGCTTGGAGTGGTTTTCAGACGTAAAGTCTACTTTTTGGCAACTTAAATAATGTTTTATAACCATTAATTTAATTTTTTGACAAAACTAGATAGGAAAAGATCCACGATAATTTTTGTGACAGTGAATGCGATTCCAATCATTTTCAAAATTTGCTTTTTTGTCTCCCATATTGATGTTGATATATTTTGTTTGTTTGATAGTTTTGTTTACATTATAGTAAAATGTTTCTTCTAATTCTTTTAATTTCATGACCTTTATCGATCGTTGTTTGTAATGCTGGCTACTATATTTGCTATCATGGTTTTGTCGGCAGCAGCTCTAAAACATAAAATAGTCCATTTTCCATTATTCTGTAATTAAATTGTTAAAACAATAAATTAAATTAAATTTAATTTAAATCATTGCAAGTGCAATGTTTATTTTACAACTTCACCTACATTATAAGATGCAAAGATTCTATTTTGCAGTGTGCTTCATAATGAGACCGAACTGTTCCAGCTTGTTTCTTCTCCTTCTATTAGAAGATGTCCTTGCTCAAGTTAGTGCCTGATTATAATAATAATTTACCTTGTTAACGATAATATATAATCCATATTTCGTAAATGTACGATATATGCTTGTAAGCAGAGCTTACACATCTTCTAGCTTATCAGCAAGTATAGCTATGTCATATACGCAACAAAGATAGTTAATTATGACTTAATATACTTTATGTTCTTGCTGAATATAACATAGATCAATTTAAAACCTTTATTTAAACATTTAATAAATTAAAAACATATTGGTATCAGCATACAGCCTGGCCTAGCACCACCTATAATTTCTACTGCTACTGAAGATGATATGCGAATAACATCAAAAGAGATATCAGATCAGAAGAAATATGTAAATCGTTAAAAAATAAAAAAAAAGAAAAGCATTCTACAAAATACAACACAGAAGACTTGTAATCCTATTGCGGAACACAGAAATAGATTCTGTTTAAAAGTCATTAACAATTTATAACGATATTAAAACGAATTATACGAATAGAAAAACAAAAATCTAATACATCTAATCTATAAGATGAGAATTACGCCAAGGATGTGTACTGTTCCCTTTATTGTTTTATATGTGGTTAGAAGAGATTGTCCAAGAGGCACTAAAAGACGTAAATAAAGGCATATCACACAACAGAACACTAGTGCATAATCTAGGGCATGGAAACGATATGATAGTCCTTGTGGCGAGCAGAAAATGTCTGAAAATTTTTGTTGATGGCACTATGTAATACTGCGAGAGGTATAAAATAGCTCTAAACAAAAAAAACAAAATCATAACTGTCAGTAAGAACGAAATTGGGGACGAAATAATCTACTATACATGACAATCTTTAGAGAAAGTTTCCAAAATACCATTACCTGAGATATGAGCTAAATAAATAATAGGACCGAAGCCTTGAAAAAACGACGCGTTGAGAGACCGCAGAAGAGCTAACAATAAGATGAAAATAAAATTTAATAAAGATGAAAATATAAAAATACTTAATATTTATAAAGCACTTTGTGAAGTAAAGAAAATAATCTATTTTGTTCACATAATAAAAAATAAAAAATATGTCCTAGATAACAAATTAAACAGTGTAGTAGAAAATCAACAAGAGAACTCTCAGAACTGCTGCGAATAGAGCAAAGTGGGACTAGCCCATTTCCATTTCAGTTTAGCTGCCTGTTGACAGCATCTTTTACTTTTGTTCTATTACGAATGTCTTCATTGGTTTTATAATCTTTTGAGTAAAATACAAAGGATATGTCGTTCCATAGATCTCTGAGTTTTTCTGATTTTCTCTATGTTTATTTTAGCGAATGTTTAAGTTTAAGCTCCATACGTAAGTACAGGTAGGATACACAAATTAAACACCTTGGTTGGCAGTCTTTGAGATATATTTTTATTTTTAAGTTCGTATGAGTGTCTTCCGAATGCTGCCTATCCCATTTTTACACGTCTGCTTCTTTCGGTAGCCTGGTTTTCTTTGCTTACCTTGACATTTTACCCACATATGTATATTCATCTACGTGTTCTATCCCAGTGCCTTCGATGTTTATTATAGGTTTGTCATCTTTGTTTGACATCAGTTTAGTTTTGATAAAATTCTTTTTTAGTCTTTTTTTAGGGATTCTCTGTGAAGCTCCTCAATCATCGTATTCAGTGCATTCTACGTTCTACGTGTCGCTACTAATAGTACTATGTAATCTGCGTATCTAAGATGGTTTAAGTATCTTCCGTTTAATATGGATTTCCTTATTTTCGCAGTCTATTGACTTAAAGATATCTTCTTGTGCAGCTGTAAATAATTTTAGAGATATTGTGTCTTCTTGTCTTACTCCTCGGTTGATTTTTACTGGTCTTGTTTTGATTCTATTATCCAACGTCACTATCATTTCAGCTCGTTCGTAAATAGTATGTATTAATATTCTGTACCTGGAGTCGATCCGGTTGTTGACTAATGCTTTTTTTATTGCCCACAGTTCCACTATGTGTAATAATCTTTGTGAAAGATTTGTAAAATTGTGAAAAAAGTGAAATTGGACGATAATTTTTCAGGTCTGTGGTGTCTCCCTTTTTGTGTATTAGTATTGTTTTAGCAGTATTCCATTGTTTGGGTATGCTTTCTTGGAATAGACATTTATTATATAGTATTTTTAGATATATAATGACTTCTTCTTCGCATTCCTTTAGCATTTCTGCTAGGATTCCATCGCTTCCAGGAGCTTTATTCCTTTTTATTTCTCAAACGTGAAATTTGTAAATGTCCTTAAAGGATGGTGCACACTAAAAAGAAGAGATTTTTTTAAAATATTTTACGATTGTTCTTATACATTTCTGAGCTACACGAAGTTAAAGTTAAAAAAAAAGATTTGATCATAAATTGTTTTAATTCCATATATTGTCCTGTTTTTACAACAATAAACAAATATATATTACTTACTATTAAACAGAAAACATCCGATTTAACGTTTTGTATTAATCACCAGTTTATATTTATTTATATGAAACGGTTTTGTTTCATTATAATTATTTTTACAATTAATATAACTTGTATTTTTAAAACCAGCGATTCTAGATCCAAAACTGTTAATTAAAATATTATTGTGGTCTTTTTCGATGAATGCGTAGTAACTTATTGCATATTATTTTTACATAACTACATAAATTAGCATTGATATATTGTATTGTAATATTTATAGAAAAGCAAAACATAAAATATAACATATATTGTAATAAATAAATTGTAATGCCAAACTTGTTTTTCAGGTAGAGGTTGTCCGGCTGCAGTATTTAGGCTATGGAATGATGTTTCCTCTACTCCTATTGAACTTTGTGGCGAAAAAGGCCTTAATGAAAAATGGCAATATGTATCTACCTCCAATGCCATGAGGTTCAGGTAAGGATTGCATGAAAAAAAAATGTTAGCTGCTGACGTTCCTATTATCAGGGAGGATGTCAGGTCCTTATACCTTGCCTGTGTTTTCTTAAACTATCCCAACCTACATCCTTGACCTAAGCTAGGCAAGTGCTACAGTTTTTAAAATTATACTAAACAGTACCTTAATTAAAATAAAAATGTGATTATTTTAAAATTTACTATCACAGGAGAGTAAAAAAGGATTTCCAGTATCTGGCACTAAATTGCTAGTCTATCTCACGAATTCTGGGGCTACAAGATAATGACAAGTAAACATATCAAATTTAAAAAAATACTTAAAACTCAAAATAGCTACATATAATTCTAGATCTCTAGCAACAAAAGAAATAATTAGAGAGATGGATGCAGCAATGTTGAAAGTTAAATGGGATGTGACAGGCGTTAGCAAAGTAAAACAACGAGCTAAAAGCCTGAAAAACCTACAATCGGATTACTTGTTTTATCAGGTCGGTGGTGAATGAAACAATGAGAGGTGTTAGCTTCTTCTTATACAAAAAACATAAAAACAGCATTATATCAATAAGTCAAGTTTCTCTAAAGCATTGACAGAAATAAAGCTTAACAAAGATAGATATAGCACAATTAAATAGAAGTCTACACCTACCTGGATAGAGCCTAATAGTATAAATGCATTTAAAGAACACATTAAGAGCTTTCTCGAAAGCAATAAGAATATAGACCTAAATGTTTATACTCTGAGTGACATCATAAGACAAGCTACAGAGCAAATCCAGAAGATACAATGCCAAAAGAAATTATACAATGAAAAAATAAGTCGCTTAACTCAATATTATTGGAAGAGAGAAGAAAAAGGCAAAAATAGAGGTAAAAAACACCATGAACTTAGATATATAACATAATAAAGAAAATAATACAAAAATATATTAGAATGGACAAACTAGAGCATAGAAGTGAACACATCCAACAAACGGTTAAAAATTATAAGGTAGCCTTAGAATAAGTTTAAAATAACAAGAGTTTTAAAGTTCTAAGGAGAAAATTAACAAATAGCAAAAGGAAAATAAATATTAAAATTAAAGGATAGAGATGAACATTTCATTACTAACAGAGATGAATTACTAGGTGTAGCGGAAGATTTCTAGACAGAATTTAACAGAAGTCAACAAAATCATGATGAACAACTAACAGAAAAGTTGGAAATTAAAAAAAATAAAATAGTCAACCAAGGATCTGAATTCATGCATAATTTATAAATAGACAAAATAAGGGTGATTCATTAATATTTTCTTATATTATATTTAGAGATATATTGAAAACTATTAAACCGATTTAAGCGAAATTTGGTATCCTGCTATTATTCAGTAAGCTTAATATGAAAATAATATTAGTTTTACCATTGACACTAAGTGGCGCCACCTATTATAATATTGGTTAATTAATGTGGCCATAATTTTTGGTCCGCCCTGTATAAACATTCTAGAAAAAAACTTGAAGTAACATTCAATTCTACAAAAAAAAAAATGTATTCTTGTTTCTCTACCAATCCACCTTTGAGGATAAATTTCATCTATATAATTTCTAACTTCTAGGTTATAATGTGGTGGTGCACCATCATGCATATACCAAAAGTTACGTCTCTAATTTAGAGGTATGTCTTCTAAAAGAGTTGGTAAATCTTCTCTCAAAAAATTTAGATACGTTACTTCGTCAAGCCCAGTTGGTAATTCGAATGGTCCTACAATACAATCGCCAAATATGCCACACCAGATATTTATGGAAAACTCATCTTGAAAATGATGTTTTTGAAATTCATGAGGATTTTCTGTCGCACAGGTATGGCTATTGCGCCAGTTAAACACACATCTTCTAGTAAATGTGGCTTCATCGGTAAATAAAATTTTATTATAAAACATTGGATCATCTAAATGCCGCCTTATCATAAACTGACTAAATCGGAGCCTTGCTGAAAAATCCTGTGGTGAAATATTCTGTACTGGAGTAAAACAATCCGGATACAGATTTTTTGTCCGTATTATTCTTTCCTGTCCGTAGATTTGCTTATACTATAATAGTGGCCGCAGAAATACTTGTACTGGTTTCTGGATCTTCTGCAACACGCACAACAACAATGTAATCCTTTATATCCGCATCAATTACTCTCGGTCTTCCAGCATTCCTGTTTTTGAAATGAAATGACTTCGTTTTGTCAAATCTGTCGAACAATGATCTAATAGTTTTATGGTTTGATGGCCTTATATTGGAATAAAGTTCGAAATAGTGTTGAGCTGCTTTACGAAAACAAAAATTTTCCTGGGCATACAAACAGATCATATCGCACATTTCTACATTATAAAATTCACCATGACGTGCAATTTTACCTTTACCTTAAGTAGTTTATAAAAAACCTAATAGCTCTTTGACAAATAATGACTCGCACTGCACTTTGACAATTAATATTAAATAAATTCGTAGTTGCGTCTTGACGTTGCCATTAAGTTCAAAGCATACTTGTCTTGCAAAAAGTTAAATAGAGACATGCATCATTTTTTTTTCTCTCTTTGGCTTGGACAATTGTCATTCAGCCAGTCTCCATCAACATAAGTTTTGTTAAAGAATTTAAATATGTCAATTAGTGAAACATGATTAATATAATAATAATAACAGCTAAGCTAATGTACATACTATGTTAATAAATACTATATCATACCTTTATTATAATTTAGTTTGAGAGACGCCATCAGAAATTCATAGTGTATACATCTTACAAATAAAAAAAAATAAAAATAAAGATATCTACCTACTATGTTCATAACAACTATGGTAATACATATATATATTTTTTTACTACGTTAGGACATAAACCCGATTCAACATCTCGGAGGTTTAGATCCTTTTAGTGATTGTTTTAGTATATTTTTATTTTTTTTTTTCTTAGTTGGTTCTTTTTTTTAATGTATTTTTATATTCATCTTTTTTCTTTTTTTTTTAATTTATTTTTTTCTTTTTAAATCTATTTTTTTAAGTATTTTTTTATATTCATTTTATTTAATTTTTTTTGATTTTTTTTTAATTATTTTTTTTTAAATTTTTTTTTCATGAATTTTTTCTAAACATAGATTACAAATCTTACTAATTACAGGCATACTTTACTATCAGACAAAAAGGTTATCAAGCAGTTATACATTTTCTTCTCATTGAGTGATAGTAGAAAGAGAATATTAACAGGAAGAGGGATGTTCTTGTCTATCATTCTTTTAATTAGGTTGTTGGTGGGTTGTTTATACTTTTGACATTCAAAAAATATGTGGTTTAAGTCACTTTTAATCTGACATTCTTGACAAATATCCGAATCTAATATATTTATTTTATATAAATGTACAGGATAACATGCATGCATGATGGTAGTTATGTATTTGCGAGGGAGGACGAAATTCTTATACCAAGGTTGTTTTGGAATAATTGGTTGTATCAAACTGTATTGTGTTGTTGAAAAACTACAGTACTTTTTCCAGTGTTCTCTCCAGTTGTTCATTTGTTTAGTTCTTGAACAAGCAAAAGCATCTATAATGCAGGGTTGATAGTTGGTAAGTGTTCCATAAACGATGGAATTTTTTGCTAACTGGTCCACGTGTTCATTATATGTAAGTCCTGAATGTGCTTTGATCCACATCAATTGTATTTTTTGGGTGTATTTATTAATTTCAAATAAGCAATTTTTAATTAAAAAAATGTATGGATTAGAAGTACTACAGTGTAGTTGCGGTTTTTGAATAGCTGTAAGTACAGATAATGAATCAGATAAAATTACTGCTGAACTATACGATGCCAATTTAAAATACTTTAAAGCCTCATATATGGCCACAGCCTCAGCACTAAAAATAGAGAAATTTGTGGGCAGCTTAAACATTTTTCCTATAAATTTATCTGGAATATAAAAGGCACAACCAGTACCCTTTGAACTTTTAGATGCGTCTGTATAAATACAAACAGATTTTGGCCAATTTGTCAGATAGTTGTTTAAAACAATACGACTTATTAAAGGGTTCTCATGATAAATAGGTTGTATTATATGTACTTGATCCAGTAACTCAAAGAAATCTTTAAAATGTACTACTTTGTTTGCAACTATAAGTTCAGTATCTTTATTTGCAGTATTTCGAAATGCTTCGCATAGCGGTGGAGAATTTTTGCGAGTCCAATATTTATTTGTTAAGTCGAAATAATTTAAAATACTAATATCTTTATATAAACAAGTGTTGTAGCAACAAACTTTAAGAAGAAATTTTTGACTGAGATATTCTCTTCTAAATTTACTGGGCGGTTCCATTGTCTCAACATAAAGTGGTTCAATAGGGGTAGATTTCATAGCACCAATGCAAGACCGCAAAACTGTGTTTATAAAAACATCTATACGACGTAAAATATTGTTACTAGCGGAGCCGTAAAGTACAGAGCCATAATCTATAATGGACCTGATATAAGAACGATAAAATAGAAGACACGTTTCAACATCTGCACCCCACCAAGTTTTTCAAATTGATTTTAGAAAGTTAAGTGCTTTATTACATCTATTAAGCATAAAATCAACATGCAGCTTCCAGGTCAGTTTTGTATCCAAAATCATACCCAAATATTTTATTGACTTACAGAGGGGAAAGTAATTATTATTTAATTTTATTTGTTCTCCTTGAGGCAAGTTATGTCTAGTGAATATACAAATATTAGACTTGTTGTTTGCCAACTCAAAACCATTTTTGTTAAACCACCTACAGCAATGTTCATGAACACTTTCCAATGTGTTTAAGCCGTTATTGTAACTTTTAGATTCCGTATAGATACAGAAGTCATCTGCATATTGTATTGTATTAAATGAAATTTTTTCGATACTAATATTATGAAAATCGGCTGTGTAAAGATTAAATAGAAGTGGACTTAAAACTGAGCCCTGTGGAAGACTCGAACTATTAAAACGTGGTCCAATGAGTTGATTGTTTTCCTTCCTAATATATATTTTCCTGTTTAAGTAGAAATTGACAATATTTTTGCATGACATGCATCATTAACAAAATAAGTTTATTTCGAAAACGGTGTACTTTTTTTATTTAAAACACGAATCCTTTTTTTGTGTAGAATTGAATGTTATTTCATGTTTTTTCCCTAGAATATTCATTTAACGCAGATAAAAAACAATATGGCCACATTAATGAACCAATGTTATAGTAAATGGAGCTCCCTAGTCTCAATGGAAAAAATAATATCATTTTCATATTAAGCATACTAAATAATAGCAAGACAACAAATTTCACTTAAATCGGATGAAAAGTTTTCAATATATTCCTAAAAATAATATAAAAAAATATCAATCAATCACCCTGTAAAATGAAAATTAATCATTAGCTAATGTCCAACTAATTATGGGACACCCTGTACTTATTAGTCATACATTGTAGACCAAGAATAATATTATATGTATAAGTTTTATTTCTTTATCACCTGTTATATTATGTATATGTGTTTTTTAGTTTTATAACGGCAGACAAAGCTGTTGGTGCTCAAGGATTCCGAGCAGTTTGGACTGAAGTGATAGAAGGGCCAAGCTGTGACGAGTTTCAATGCCTAAAATCGGGGTTTTGTATTCCTGATAAGTTAAGATGTAACAAGATCAACAACTGCGGAGCCGACGATGACTCGGACGAGGAGGACTGTGAGTGATCTAATGGTCATTATGCATTGCTCAGTGTTTGTTCGTCTTTGAATTAAATTAATCTTAGAATTAAATATACATATAAAGTTAGTTCTTAATTTTAACACAGTTGGTAAATATTATAATTAAACATTGAGGCTAACCATAGGTTTTATTTTGTCTTGAAAGTGTAGTGTAAAAAATATTTACAATAACAATTTTTCACTTGTGGGTCCTATAATCAATTAACATGAACAATGAAATTTTTAGTTTTTCTGTTCTGTTAATCAATATTAATCACCATCATCAGCCCGTTTTAAGCCAACTGCAGAACAGCGACCTCTCCTGTTTGTATCTTAAGTGCACGGTCTTGTGCAGTATGGACCCAATTTTTCGTCATCTTTCGCAGATTATCTTGCCATCGTGTAGGTGGTCTTTCTCTGTTTCATTTATCTGTCCTTGGTCTTTATTTGGTTATCTTACGTGTACACCTTCCAACCTAGAACCTTGCTACGTCGCCAGCCCATCTCCATTCCAATCTGCAATATCTCTTCACAATATCTGTAACTCTGGTTCATTTTCTTAGGTCTTCGTTTGTGATATTGTCTTTTATGGTTTCTCCTATCATTGAACGCTATATTATTCTTTGTGCTGCTCTTAGTTTTGAAGCATTTTTTGTTGTTATGGACAGTGTTTTTACATCGTAGGTCATTACTAGCAGAACACACTGATCGAATACTTTTCGCTTCAGATTAATCGGTATACTGCCGATCGTTAAATACGTTTTTCAGATATTTAATCTGTACTCGCAGCACATTTTTAAAAAGGCTCTAAACTATATTTATGAAGATATCTCAAAAAATTGAGTAAAGCTCAATAACCTGCGGTATGCAGATTTATGTATGCAGACAATAGTGTTTTCCATTACCATAGAAGGGTACAAAACTTAATGAGAAAAATAACGGAAATAGTAGAACATATGGACTGGACATAACTACCAGAAAAACCAAGCTATTGATCATCAGCAAGCAAAACATAACTGGAGCAAATCTGTATGTGAACCAAATGAGAATTGAACGTGTCTCGCAATACAATTACTTGGGAACTATAATCAATGAGTCGTTGAACAATACCCAGAGATTAAATGTCGCATCGGAAAGCAAAAAGTGCATTCTTGACTACGAGCTTTGTGTTCAAGAGCCGTGACCTCACCCTAGAAACAAAAATAAGGCTTCTTAAATGTTACGTGTACTCAGTGTTTCTGTACTGAGTAGAAACGTGGACGTTGAAGGCGGAAAATTTATCAAAACTTTGGGCCTTTGAGTAATAGTAATACAAAAGGATCCTGAAAAATGCAATGGATAGTCACAAAAGTAAGAAATCCACCAATGAAGAAATACTGCGGAGGGTGAACACAACCGCGGATTTAGTCAACATGAGATGATAACCTGAGAGCATGGTAAGAAAGACCTCAACACAGCTGTTGAGGCACCCTAAGAAGAAGAATTCGTTGGTTGGCTATTTTATATGTCTTTGCTTCTTCAACGATGTAAAGACTATATGCTACAGTCTTTTTACTGTTATTAAAGCTTCCTTTTGACGGCCTTATAGTTATAAAAATATACGTTCGACTTATTCTCTTACGCCTTTTTATACTTTTTCCTTTAATCATTATTTTTCTTGTACTTCGTTTGTCCACTACGAGATCTCTTTATTACTGAAGGTAATCTTTGTGTAGTATTTTCGATACAGTGTCTCAAATAACACTATTTATATTCCTCCAAATTGTACTTGCTTATATGTTCCGACAAATTTTTTGTAATAATTTTTTAATGGTTATTACTTTCCAAGTCAGTTTAGTACGACGTTATATCTTCCTATGCTGCTGTACGAAGTTGAGTCCTGGACCATCACAGACCTTCATTCTAGCCGCCTATCGGATTGAAATCACTGTATGTATATTACGCGCCTGAATAGATCAATTGACTGCATACAAACCATTCACGAGAGATTGCGTAGCCACGAGATTTTACATATTCCTGCACTTCTTCTACCTTTGATTTTACCCTGCATTATATTTCTTAGTAGTTCGTATTTTTTAATTTAAAACTTCGCATTGTTTTCCTAGTTGTTCGAGAACTTGTTCGTTTGTTTTATCGATCCATCCATGATATTTTCAAAATACGTCACCGTGGTAACACCACATTTTAAATGCTTCTAGGTTTTTAATGTTGCATTTTTTAAGTGTCCAAGCTTCAACCTCATACAAAATGGTAGCGAAAATATAACATCGAAGCATTCTTATCCGGAGCGATATATTAATATCGCGATTAGAAAAAAGTTTTCTCATTATATTAAAAGTTGACCGTGCAATTTTAATACGGCATCTTATTTCTTGTGTCTGATCAGTATCTTCTGTGATCCATGCTCCAAGGTATTTGTACGAAGATATTTGTTCAATTTCTGTATTATCTAGTACTAGCTTAACTTTGATATTTTGTGCTTTTGTAAATACCATGAACTTGGTTTTCTTCACATTTATTTTTAGTCCATAATCGTTGCAATATATATTTAGTTGTTCAGCAAGGTGTTGCAGTTCTTCTAGTATTCCTGCGAGAAGGACGATGTCATCAGCATATCTTATGTTATTAAGTGGCTTAACGTTTATTATAAGGCCCTCACTGACCTCGGCAAGCGCTAATTCTGAGATGGTTTCACTGTATAAATTGAATAACAAAGGTGATAAAATACACCCTTGGCGACCACACGGCGAATCTGAATATCCTGGAAAGTTCATTTTTAACTTTCACTTTTGCTGTTTGGTTCCAATAGAGGTTACATATGATTCTAGTGTCTCTACTGTCTATGTTTATATTTAATAAAATTTCTTTAAGCCGATTATGCTGCACTCTGTCAAATGCCTTCTCAAAATCAATGAAACAGGCATATACTTACTGATCTATATCTAAGCATCTCTGCGAAAGAACACTTACTGCAAACAGTGCATCTCGTGTTCCCAGTCCTTTCATAAATCCCATTTGTGTATTACAAGGCTATGGTGCGATATTCATTACACTCCTTTGCATTGGCTTTTGTGGGAAGCAGTATGAATGTTGATTAGAGCCATTCTTTAGGTATTATACCTGTTCTAAATATGGTATTGAATAGATATAAAAAAATATCAATAGATTCAGTATTCAAAATTTTGAGTAATTCGATAGGAACTTCATCACGCCCGGGAGATTTACCACCTTTAGCTTGTTTCATTGCATATTCAATTTCTATCTATAATGTTAGGCCCAGTATCATCCTTAAATTCTTTTGGTGCTTCTGTTCTTTCTTTGTTTTTAAAAAGTTGTGCTATATATTGTGTCCATCTCTGCATTTTTGGTTTATATCTGTTATAAGTGCAACACTTTCATCTATTAGTTGCCTAGTTTGAAGTGTTTTTCTCATTTCTGTTAATCCTCTAATTCTTTTATGTATGTAAAAAAGTGATATTTTTTTTTCAATTTCTTCTAGTTTTTGGCACTGCTCATGTAAAATTCTCTTCTTAGCTTCTTTTATTCTCTTTTTAATTACTCGATCAGTTTCATTATATTTAATTGGATTTTTTGTTTTAAATGATTTTCTTTCATTTATTAATAGTAGTATTTCTTCAGTCATCCAGTCTATGTTTTTTTTTCTTTGGTTTTAAGTTTTAATTTGCTGTTTTAATTATTGCTACTTTTATATTTTCCCATTTCTGATCAATATTATAGCTACTTTTATTCAGTTCTGGAGCATTACGTAGATTTTCACTACGAATTTTTACAGTTTGTTCCTTTGTTTGTGGTTCCCTTAATCTCTTAAGATCAATTTTACTTTTTGTGGGTTTTTAAACCAATTTCAATTTGGTTCGTAATATGACTACTATGGGATTATGGTCTGAACCGATGTCTGCTCCAGGGTAAGTTTTGGCAGACAGTAAAGAATTACGAAATCTTTGTCTAATGGGGACAAAGTCAATTTGATTTCAGATTATTCTATTTGTTGTATCACTGAGAGATGACCATGTATATAATCTTCTTTTTGGTAGCTTAAAAAGTGTATTAGCTATTACAGATTCTTCCATCTGGTAAAATTGTGTCAAACGGTCATCACGTTCATTTCTATTTCCTAGACCATATTCCCCCACATATTCATCCACTCTTCTCTGGCCAACTTTGGCGTTGAAGTCGCCCATTATTATTGAATTGTGATGTTTCTTCATTGATGTTAAGGCTTGTTCCAAATCATGGTAAAACTAGTTCGATATCGTCGTCATCCTTATCTGCCGTAGGAGCATAAACTTGAATAAAATATACTATTCCTTTTATAGACTGAAGTTGTATTGATAAGATCCTATCAGAATAGAGTAAAACTTCTAAGGGAGTAATTGACCTTCTTCATAGACGCTACTTGCAAGAAAATTGAGGCTTTCTAAATATAGCTTCATCATCGTATCCTAAAGATATCCTATACCGACCATCTTACTAATCAGAAACAGAGTACTAACGCAAACAAAGTGCAATATTATTCCACACAGGTTTACATTTTTGTATACAAGCTAAGATCCCTACTGTAAGACCTACCATATAAACCTCGTATGGTTTCCGTGTCCCGCCACTAAGTGGAAGTGGTAGTTTGTATGAGATACAATAGTATAAATGGAACAGAAGTGGTGTGTTTAAAGGTTTAGTTACCTGTTTCTATCTTTTTTATATTCAATAATAATATTTGCAACATGTGTGTTTTCATACATAAGGTTTTTGTTTTTACATTTTCTGTACATTCTTCTTGAATTTTTTTTAATCTGGACGCACAAGTCGAAATAAATAAAATTTTCTTTACCACGCACGTTAAGATTACAATTAAAATTTAAATGGTTGGCAGCAGCTATACCATTATTTTACATATTGAAATGCTATAATAATAAAATTATATTTACACTAATTTTTTATACCTATACTTTTACATGGCAGTATTCTGGACTTTTATTTTTAATGTG